ACCCCTGAAAAAAAAGAATTATGTACCACTCTGTGAAGCTATCACCTAGGTAGAATTTTCATCCAAGACTTCCCCCTAACTGAAAATGCTGCCAAACCAACTATACTCCATTTATTAAGAATTTTCCTCCTCGCTCTTAGAGTAATAGTCTGACCTTAAAAATGTATTTTTAATTGATGATGTATGGTTAGGGGAACACATGGATACAGTGTAAACAGAGTAAAAATGTATGCATAATTAATAAAAAAAAGTTTATACTCTGTATATTTGGTTTTGACTTTTCTTTACACAAATCATGATTTAATATGCCAATAATTGATGAATTATTGCTTTTTATGAGGTCTAATCAATATTTATTGAATGCAATTAAAGACAAATTAAACAATTCCTTTTTGCAGATGTCAGTGTGACCACTAGAATCAAAACTGTCACAGGTAAAACCGAAAAAGATAAAATGCAGAGAAACACTAAAATGCTTTCTCTCTTGTGGTCACATATTCATTTAAATTGACAGTCAAATCAATGCTGATAAAGTGTCAACAAATATATTGTCCAAATTCAGCCGAACAAGATATAAACTCCAAAGATCTCCGATACTCCGGGAGAAATGTTTTAACTTCAGGATGTCTTCGCTACTCTGGGGAATTTCTCAACTTCTCTAGTGGGAGGAGTGTCTCTACTCCAGGAGGACAGTCTCTACTCCAGGAGGACTGTCTACAGTAGTCCAGGAGGTCTTCTCCGCGCTTATAAGCAGAATAATTTTTAACTTTGGGAGGTCTTCTCTTCTTCTCCAGAACTCTTTCAGCTCAAGAACATCTTTTTGCTCCAGAATGTAATGAACAAGTGTTTTGTAATATAAATTGAGAACTTTTTTTAAAATATTTATCATAAAAATGAATCATGCAATTTTAATGTGTATTATAACAACTTGCTATTCTCTAAGAGTCTCTAAGACAATCCACCTAAGCCATGACATGTCAACTTGCACACTCAATGAAGGAGATACAAGGATGATACTGTGCATCAAAGATGATGTATCAGGTCACATCGACACAATGATTCATACAGCTTTTGATGCTGATACAGATGTTATCCTTAACAATAACAAAACTGCATCTTATTCTATTCTGGAAGAACAAATATGGGTTGCATTTGCCAACATATGAAATGGCAAATTCCTCGGGTCCACAAAAAGCACTATGCCTACCATTTGCTGACAGGATGTGAATTTCATGGTTGGTGCAAAAAGACAGCATGGGACAGATGAAACTAACTTCCTAAGTTGACAAATGTACTCCAGAGTCAAAAAGAAAATATATTGCAGGGAAGACTATGTTTATAAAGAAGACTACTTAAATTTAGCACATTCCTCACACTGTAGATGACTTATTGGAACACTGCAGGAGAGTACTAGATAGTACTGTATCAAGGTGTGTATATCTGATGGGAACTTGGAACCAAGTCGATTTATTCCAAAAAGACTGAGGCTGGACCACAGTGCCAAGATCAGACATCTGGAACCTACATTAGACTTTTAAAACAGATGACTGATGCATGTCAGGTATTAGTGTGGTTGTAAAAAGGAAACTCTTAAATCAAGAGGTGCTGTGCCTGCATGCTTTAATGCTCCTCTCATATGCACATCATTGTGTTCCTGTAATGGAGATTTAGCTCACTCACTGACACAACTACATGTACGCTGCAAAAAACACCTGTATATCCACAATCTTGGTTTACCATATAAAAGATGGTATTCAAATAGTCTTTTAGTATTCTAATACTACTCATAGCAGTGGTGAAAATATAAGAGTATGTATTTTAGAGAATTTTGGGAAAATATTGTTCACTTCGCACTTTGCAAAATTTTCTAAATTATGCCAAAACTAGACCATGTAGATGTAATCTAACAGTAAAATAGGCAAGATATTTGTTATTTTGAGTGATTAAATTCAAGCCACTGCTGAAACAGATGTTACCAAGTGAAAGACTAGTTCGCAATAGGCATATTATCTGAATGGGGGTTTACCCACACCCATCAAGCCCCCTATGGTGCAGCCATGAATTCAAGTCTAAATATTGTCTGGTCAGGTACATGAGGTTACTATCAGAATCATCATGATCAGGACTCTATACCAATAATTTCTCACCCATGAAAAAATCTGACAATAGGCATGCTTTCAAAATACATTATTGAGTAGAAATGATTGGATGAATAAAATAAACAAGCATGAAATTCATCTTCTAACTTGTATAGAAATAACAGAAAATCAGACACTTTATTCAAATTGTTGAGAGAAAAGCATGGATATAAACATGACTATCATGGTTCTGTCATGGTTTTAAAGTTACTTGATATAACAGGAATAAATTGATTTAATCTCAGATTTCAAAACTATCTATTGATTATAGATTGACGGAGATCTCATTTCCTAAAACATCACACATAAAAGATTTATTTTCAATTGCTGTTATTCGAGAAGAATTAGAAGTTTTCCTGATGGAATAATTTTAGCATAAAATAAATATAAAAAAGAATTTACATTTCCCCTGCCAGATATTCTCACAAATAAGTATATGAGTATCTGACATTTCATACTTTTCTACTCCTTTGTGCATTTATAAACTAGTAGTCTCATAACAATATGAAGTAAAACACTTCAAATATGAATCATATCTGTTGCTGTTAGGTTATATTCAAATTTTAGAGACACCATTTTGAAGAAAGCCGAACCCTCAATCTGATATAAACTACTGTATTTACTGTTTTCTACCAAATTTTATTTAATAACATTACCCTGCCCTTATGTCTATGTTTCTTTATTTCCTCTGTGTTGGGGAAAGCATCAAATGTACATCAAATTAAATTACATAATTTACAAAGGTTAATAGTATAAAAAAGAGATTTAACATATTTACAGAAGCACGTTCTTCAGATGTTCCATTTACATTGTTTAGGATGAAGGTATATTCAAGTATACCCCCCAAGACTTAATCATTACCCATATGTAGAGTCAACATTATCATGTGTCAAATTTTATTTCCCTTAAGAGAATAATTGAATGAAACAAAATTCATAACACCATTATATCAGATCAGAGCATAGAAATTCAAGATTATATAAATTACTCAATACCAGCTCACTCGCAGAATAAGATCATAGTAAAATACATATTCCTTTCCATTTTCAATTTATTTTCTGGAAGTTCTATAAACATTTTGTATACTATATACCGAAATGTTAATCAAATTCCATTCAATCATAAAAGTAAATAAGCAATCAATGAATCAGGCAAACATGGCCATTTTCAAAAATTATATAAGACATTAATTTGCAAAATGTAACCACCTGCCATTTGTAGCAGTTGCAGAACTCCAAATGCCAACCACCAAATGCCGAATACTAGATGCCAAACACCATCTACAAAAAGGTTGGAGACTATAACAATATGTCACCACTTTTTCAAAATCTAATCCCTGACCATTTTCCAAGAAGATAACAACCTTGATCACTTTCCAAAAAATCCTGATCATTTTTGAGGATAAAATCCTAACAATGCTTGCATAATTATGTTCCCCATCAATCAAGAATGCAGTCAATCATTTCAGGAATCCCGGCTGATATGGGGATAAGTTTGTGTAACTGACCCCAATATGTAAAAATTGTCAGCTTAGGAAAACAATGTAACAATGCTTGCATAATTGTGTTCCCCATCAATCAAGAATGCAGTCAATCATTTAAGGAATCCTGCCTGGTAAGAGGATAAGTTTGTATAACTGACCCCAATATGTAAAAATTGCAAAATCATTTGGCATCATAAGATGAAGTTCCCCAAACTAATTAATCTTAATTTGATGTTTAATTACCATGATGTTGCATTATCTGTCAATGAAATTCTATGGTAGAATTGCTTTAAGTAAAAAATGCTCACATTCTGACATCATATACAAAACAGTTGCAAAGGTCATTCCACGGGGCCTACCATTATATGCCCAGCTCTTAAAAATTTGTGTATTTTGTCCATAATCTAATTATCTGGCATCATAAGAAGGGCAACTGTAAAACTGGGTTAGTTAAGCATATGGCTTTTAATCAAGTTGAATCAACTAATACAATCTATTGATACATTGTTAGACATTCTATGAGGTTGTATTCACTCCATCAGACAAATTGAGCAAGAAGTAAATCAATGAAATTACCAATTTGATGATGGATTGATAAAACTCTATCAATCTTACCCTATCAGCCAGCTAAACAAATACCACGAGCTGCCACTTGACTTAAAAAGAACTATGTGTCCAAACTACCATCCTAGAGTTCAGAGGCTACAAGTTGAAACTACCTTCTTGCTAGGAAAGACAATTATATACATGTACAGTAAAACCTGTCTAAATGACCACCTCTCTCTAGTGAACATATATTTCTAGTAGACACCGATCCTTCACACCTACTCTTTTGACTTCTGTATAAATTACCCTCTCTGTAGTAAACACCTACCAACACTGAATGATTTTTCTCAACAAAAAATATTCAATATACAATTCAGGTTTTATTTTAGTTTTACATCATCATCATCATGACCCAATACTGAACAACTGAAATGGGTAAACTACAATTACCAGAATACTTACACTACCATGCTTCAAAGTACTTTGATTCTACATATATATTTTACATATCGACATTGAATTAGTTTTTTTATCAAACTGAATCAGAATCCCTTCTATCAGGAGAATACCAATCCCTGATCATATATAATAATGTAGCTGCTGTATCCAAATAAAAAGTGTATCAAGCTAAAACCATCTAAAACATCAAAATTAAACGGCACTGTATGGCCTCAATATGCGTCAAAAATGAAAACCTTGTTTGTAGGAAATCAATTCTGAGTTAATTTTTATGAAGGAGGAGGACTTATTCATAACAAACTTAACCTTGTGACTTGGTGTCTATTTCAGTCTTGACATAGTCTCTAACATACTCTTTTTACCTCCATTTCCAGGATGAAAAGCACCAGACATTTGAGTGCTTATTGTCTATAAGGCAGAGATGGAATGATGAGTACCTTAGTTGGAATGAGTCTGATTATGGAGGCCTCAAATCTATTCGTTTACCTGCCAACCAAATATGGACTCCCGATCTCGTCATTAGTAACTAGTAAGTCGCAAGATTTAAGTAACTGTAAGTGCTACTGATTTCATATGCTGGAATTACACCTGAAAAATGCTAAAAGTGCTTATTTCATTTAGGGCAAATGGTAAAAATCCGGGTAAGGCCAATCGGAATTACACTACACTGCTAAAGCGCCAAACGATTTAAGGCGTTTTTAGTGACTTGAGTTTGAGTTTTTAGTGAGGAGTTTTGGAAAAGCACTTTTGTAAATCTGCAATCGTGATTACACCTATTTTTCAAAACGGGTTCAAACCTTAGGCACCTTTCTAAAACTCATGGTGTAATTCTAGCAATAGTTTTGAGTGTCTCAGTTAATACATTTTAACATTAAATGACTCAAATGCAAATAGTACATTTATTTAATAAATTCTTTGTAATTTAATAACTGAACCTGAGTTAGACTAGTGAGCTATATTAGACTTAATTATAATCCTGATTAATTGAATCTCTGTGGTACTGCTTTCGCCATTTTGGAGGACACCCAAAGAAAATCCAATAAGATTATGTGTACAGAAACTCAGGTTACATCATAGATCAAAGAGATGATGGTGAAATGTGTTTTTCTTATAACAGAAATGTGAGACAGATGATTTTGACATACAACAAATATTATTGAACAAAACCACTTGTTTAGAACTCAGAAATAATCAGCTGTCTGAGGTATCTGAATTCCCAATAATGATTACGATTACACACAGACCAAATATTTATAGGATACGTGGCTAATATAAGTAAATAGAGCGCGCCACAACAAAGCAAGTAAACAATCTGCAGAATCTAGATGCAGAGATAATTCATAAAACTTGCATGGTAGAATACAGCGAATTCCAAACTCAATGTTACCCTGGGGAACAGCCTTCATTAAAAGAGCAATTTGATTTGATCTGATATAATCTTTCTCCCTTTACAAGTAACAAACCGGTGATAAATAATCCCTTATCAAGGATTTACTGCTTCCACAATTTACTACACAGTAGGTGTATAGAATAAAACTTGAAAAACATGGGAGAGGCCATACAACCAACCGAGTAAATTAATTATATTCATCATAAAAATCCTCAAAGTTCTCCCAAAGTGGCATGAGATGTACTATATCGAAGTTAAAGTTCACATTTATTTTATTTATTACCAAACCTTGATGTACTAAAGGGGGTATATTAATGCCCAATTTATAGATCATGTCTCCATATCAATAAAAATACCAGATAAGATAAAAGTAATTGGGATGAATGTTTTTGATGAAGTCAATAATTTATCATTCAACAGAAAAAGTGCATAAAATATTTGAAATTTCTGACTTGGGAACATCTATACTTAGTAACTCACTGTCATGTTTCTCATTCTGTGATTGGCTAAAAACATATCATGTGACATAAAATATCCTGTGAAATTTCAACTTCATACTTACTGAATATATCCTACAATCCATTTTTAATATTGAACATTATACTCTTTTTTTCGTACCCCTCCTCAAGACCCCATTAATACGTTACATTATAATATTTAATGATGGACGTGTTATAGTAAAAATACATGTGCCCCTTTTTAAGTAAAATTCTACTTTGAAGGTATCATGTACAAATGAGAAAATTTTGTCATGTACAAATGAGAAAATTTTGTCATCATTATTTTGAATAAAAGTTAGTCAGATCCATTCATCATGCTCCTGTCCAAGTTGACTGGATTACAAAAGCTATCCATAATCCTCTCACGAGACTAAGGCCTATTAAATACCAACAAACATTCAAAGAAAAAGGTCCAAGCAGGACTAATAACTGAATTATATACCTATTACCACTGCCTCATAGATATGTTTTGTGTTAAAGGCTATTCCTGCACTCATCATATATTGCCCAGTTGAATTAAATATTCAATTGGGGAAATATACTTCAAAATAAGCCAGATCTATTGCAGTTGTTGGCAAAATTGAGACATGGTTCACATCAAGGTTTAGGTAACATATATAATTGATCCATACCATTTGCATTCATTTGACTTCGTTTTTAAAAATGAGTTTGGTTTTCACTACCCTGCATGCAGTCTAGTTAAACTATGAAAATGAAGCTCTCTTTTAAGAAACAAAGTCGAATGAATGGAAAGGGTACGTTTTCACTCTTTCAATTTTTGACCAATCTTTGAACTCACCGAGTCGGAGTTCATCATCAAAATATGGACAACTTCCTTTTAGTCATTTCCAATGAGCACGCACTTAACACATGTTCATTCCAGTTCACTGATTGGTTGAGAAAATGTCAGCATGGTGGGTTTGAAATGATTTATGACCCGGGCTGTCACAGGCACCAGTCATGAGGGTGGGGCTGTTAAACTGTAATATAGTCTGTACTAGGCAGAGGCTAGTTTATAACTAGACTGTGTACAGGGTAATGGACTATAACTCTAATTTGACATGTCAGTTTTTATAGATACTGAGTTTCAGCAATCAGCATGATATTGTAATCTGCTGCATAAGCCAATAAATCGCCATTAGTGTTTACGGAATATATTTTATATTAAGTCTTTGAATATATATCGGATCTCTAATAAATGATCCAATTACTATAACATGCCATGTTCATTAAACCATAGTGTCCCTTATGATCATACCACAACATCTAAGAGTCAAACATTCCCAATGGTACTTAAATTGTACTTATTCTATATTTTGTTCCCCTTTTAATTGAATTACTGTTTTATACAACAGAAATAATCGAATGGCAATTTGAAGGAAATTAAGGTTGTGTGGTCAATGCTGGTTATGAAATAAGTATGCAATTGCAAAACCAGAAACACACAACATTGTATTATATTTCATTCTATCTCATAATTATACTTAAATAAATGAGAACAAAACTAATTTATAAGAATTATAATACTTCAAAAGATAAGAAATGTAAAACCTGTCTTAGTAAACACCTTTCTCTAGTGAAAACCTGTGTTTAGTGAACATAACTTCAAAAGATATTTTACACTGACTTCCTCTCTGTAATGAACACCTGCCTACAGTGAACACATTTTTGGGGGCTGCATAGGTGTTCACTATATAAAGGTTTTACTGTAAATATATTCTGCTTCTAACAAATATACAACCTGTATCCATCATGAATATTCTTTAAAAGTGTAAGATTTCATTTATTTGCAATCTGTTTATCTTCAGTCATATGAAACACCTTGATGGATTAACATGATCTTTCTGTAGATTTTGATTTTTGGCATTTTTGCCATCAATGTAATAAATTGAATGCATGGGATAGAAAGACCATACACAAGGCAGATGTAAAATACATATATAGCCTCTTTGATATACATATCATATACATATATAACCTCTATATTTTCTCATCTATTATTCATTGATTTATATTGTATGACTATTGTATGACTGTATTTTATTGGAATTAATAGAAAAGTAGTTGAGCAGGTATATACCTGAATAACTGAACTGCTCTTCAGTGATGAGGTTGATCACTGGAGTAAATATTTTTGGCAAATTGCTCTTGCTGGTAGGTTATAACATATAGTTACAAAAGTGTAACAATTCATTACAGAAACTGATTGCTAATACCTGAAGACTAATTCTGAAGTCTGAGAGCCAGTCACAGGTGGCTGATATGTTACCATTTTTAATGCTGACATAAAGACTAAAAGATAATATGTACCAAATTATATTAAATAGAATGATATACAGTAAAACGTGTGTATGCTGAACATATTTTTCTGATAAAACAGTATACTTCACTGCAAAGAGGACAATTTATACAGAAGTCAGTAGAGTATGTGCGGAGATGGGTGTCTACTAGAGACATGTGTTCACGAGAGACAGATTTCACTTATTAATATTGCTTTATTACCATACATTAATATTTCAAGACCTAGTGACACAATCACAAGAGAATTAACAAAATTGACATCTATGTAGTATAATGTGCAGGGTGGGTGGCCACAATTGTATGGTCTGGGTCATTTATAGATTATTCAAAAGCTGTGTACTACTTAGGCATGATTATCATGAGACCAACCAGGCTTTTTTCTGTATAACAGTGAATTAGATGATTGTTATAAGTTCACATTTCCCCTTCCATTTTTATGTGAGAGGGTAGATATTAACCATGTCAAAACATGGCTTGCTCTATTGATTGTTACGTTTATGAATAGTACTATGGACTTATATTCCTCGTTTGTATACTTAATGTAATGCGTAATGTTGCAATGGTTTTTGTTAAGAATTGTTGACATTTCTTAATGGTCAGTGCAGTCTATATATGATTTATAGGAGTTTATGTTGTTTTGTTAAATGTTGTCCTTTAAGCCTAGCTCTTGGTACTCTGGGTCATTTCAACGGATTTACATTTGCCGGCCACTACCATTTTTCAATAAAATGTGTTTTTATACTTGTTCTTATGCCTTGACAAGATATCTTGTCTCTCGACTGCCAACAGCTGATAAAATAGGTCATTCAATGTCATACTTTATATTTTCAGTGCAGATGAGAACTTCAATGACAGAATGGTGACAAATGTGATAATCAACAATGATGGGAATGTCCTCTGGATGATTCCTGCCCTCGTGAAGACATACTGCGCCCTCAATGTCCAGTACTTTCCTTTTGATACCCAAAAATGCCAACTAAGCTTCATCTCTTGGACTTATAGTGGGTTTGAACTTAATATTATCTACAATGAGAGCTTCGCTAATAGTATCTACTACAACCCAGAAAACCAGGAATGGTGGGTGGAGAATATCACATCAGTGCGGCACGTCCAGAAGTATGCCTGCTGTGATGAACCATACCCCGATGTTACGTTCACAATTAACATGCGTCGTAGGAGTCAGTTCTATGTGTTCAACATGATCTATCCCTGTGTGTTGATCTACCTGATCTCATACTTGGGGTTCTTCTTGCCTGTGGAATCTGGGGAGAAGGTGAATCTGGAGATTACAATCCTCCTGGCCCTGGTGGTGTTCCTACTCATGGTGGCAGAAACAATGCCACCAACACCAGACTCTATACCAGTCCTCGGTAAGTATAGTCACGTGTGTATGTAGTCACGTAGTTTAGTTTAGTTTTTTAATTGAAATTGTGAATGTTCTTGGACTATATGATGCTCCATATTTGACACTTAATAATATCATTTCAAGGACTGTATTGATTTATGAGTATTCATTTAATTTTTCTAGGCATGTTCTATGGAGCAACAATGTTGATGGTGTCAGTGGCTCTTGTCATGGCTGTCATAGTAACCAACCTCAGTATGCGTCATGACACACATCAGAAAGTACCAACTTTTCTTCGCAAAATTCTCCTTGTTATGAGTGGCCCTGGTAAGGGTAAACACAAGAGTCGTAATCGACAGAATCGCAGAGACAGAATTACCAAAGCTCCATCTATCAGGCTAGAAATGAGAGATATAAAATTCAACGGGGAGGTTGAGACGAAACATTTCAGTCCGGCTCATTGTGTTGATGACATGAACAACTACCATTTGGAGGAAAGTGATTCAGAAAAAGAAGAAATCACAGACTACAACTACATGGCTTGCCAGAGTGCTTTCTGTTGCTTCCGAAGAACTTTAAGAAGACATGACTCAGACTGGCAAGTTCTGGCAACAGTTGTTGACAACCTCCTGTTTTGGCTATATGTTGTTATGAGCCTTTCTGTTTTTGTGCCAATATTCATGACATATGCCGACAGGTGATATGCCACTTTATAAGGAGATTGGTGCTCCATGGCTGCTAATTTTTGTTGCCTGGTATTTTTCAATGCCGTGCTCATTTTGGCACTTTTAGGATCATGTTCTGATGTAACAATCATTGACTGACTAAAGAGAAGCAGTGCTGGAAATGACTTTTCATGCTCGAGCAAGATTTGAAGGAGATTGTCTATGATCAGATTTTGGGCTTTGGATGTTTCGCTCAAGTTGCATAATGATGACTAAATTGTTAAATGAGAAATAGAAATGTCAAGATGGATAAAGCCACCTTCTAACGTGACTTATAGGGAAGGACATAAGTATGATATATTACGCAATGATCTGTTTTGTGATCCTAGAAAATGCCTAGTGGAAATACCATGAATGTTAAATCTTACAGAATCAGGACACAGTGACCGCAAAAAACAGTGTAACCATCATATGAGATACTGAATGTTCATTGCTCACCTCTCCAGTACATCTCTTGCATATTTTGAATATGTACATATTTTCAAATTGACACCTATGTAAGTAAATCCTGGTCCTCTTGCACAGTAAAACCTGTAAAGTTGAATGCCTCTGAAGTCCCATTTCTCATTAATTTAATATACCGGTACATTGAACCTCTGGAACATTGTTTAGAGGTACCAAAGGACCGTGTTTCACTTTCACAAGTTTTACATTAAACCATACTGACTGTTTAAATCAGACAGGTTTTACTGTATATTCCATGACACAATAATCTAAAAAGCCAAATCTAAAAATATATTTTTAAAAATCACTTCTTGTGACATTAGATTGACCTTATCAAATTCTTTGAAAGGACTTTGACATTCAACTCCTATGAAAATTTCTTTTTCACTTTTCATACTTTATATGGAGAATTTAGAAAAATAACATATGTAAGTAAATATTTTCCGGATATGTTACCGGCTCTTATAAATAATTACTTATCATAATCACTGTTTGTCCTTATTATTACAATGTACTAATGGAAAAAGACAATCAGCTAATAAATTATTTATCAAAAATTTGTTGTATAAAAAGATTTGTGATGATTTATAAAGGGTATGGCACCTAGGGAGATATTTTTGTATAGATAATTTCCTGAGAAATAATTCATTTTAACACATAACTGTGTAATAAGCAGGGCAGGATTACACCATATTTCAAGATTCCACATATTTGTTAAATCATGCACGCTAGTTATATTTTGGAAGGAATTTGGCAAATTAATAAATCGAGAATGTCTGGGAAGATTAAGTCGAAAGTCAGCCAAGTTGTCTTGGACTTATAAAACTAGATCTATCTCCCTAGTCTTGGGTTTGAGAGAGAATATTGAGGATAGAACAACACTGGGGACTATCTCTACTTCATTACATTTATTGTTAGTATTAAACATCAATTACATTAAGTATCATAAAAAATATGTGATGTCTTGGTAATAAATTTGCAATGAATCATCAATGAAAAGCTCTTTACAGATTCTATGAATAATATAAATGGAATCAAAGCAATTTACCTCATTCGAACTAATTTATTTGCCTTAGAAATGATTCAATAAATTTTTTATTCTAAAGCCTTAGTATTGTGATATTTGCGCTCCTTTGAAGGAAATGGACGGTATAGGGACAGGTTGAGAGTAGACTAAGTTTTAGATTAGAATTGTCACTTTTAAATTTTTTAGAAATTTTTTCAAATGAATATGGACGTTTCTTCATCTTAAATCGATTTTGTTTTTTCTGAAAATAAAATCACGATTGCAAGGGAAACATTGGCATGTTTTTGAAAGAACTCTTTCCAACATTTTGCACTCTTAAGCCATTCTATCTCTAAGCATTAAATCAATATTATAAAACAGATGAACTGAGATGAGAGTTATGGACGAGAATCATGTCTAAGGAATGTAACACAATCCATACAATAATAATAAAAATTCCAAAGGAAATTGAATCGTAACTACAAATATTCAAGGATACTCAGTGAATATTAATTTTAGTTTATATTGCACATTTTAAGACATTCATTTTCAGAGTTGCTTGATCTAGTTGCTCTACTTCTATTTACCAGGTCAAAAAACTTGTATCTCTAAGCAGAAATCTTTGACTATTGATATGCAATAAAGAGAAGCAAGAGTTTCTTCTTCCAAACTTTCTGCATGTTCTTATGATTTATGTCTGCCAGACAAACATTCAGTTTTTCTACTGCAAATGGTAAAACACAACATCTTATATTCATTAAAAGCTTTAAAATCGTGCAAGGAAAACTGAACCGTATTTCCTGTCTCTTGGCTGCTTCAAATATTGCCAATAAAATATCTAACAACTAGGCTGGTCAAACATGAATCTCATATCCCATAATAATATAAGTGATCTTGAGAGGATTTTTACTCAATCCTAATTTAAATCAAAATGTCTCAATATTTCGCCATTTTGGCAGGGTGCAAACTGATTTTCAAAAAGATGACTTATAATTTTCAAATTTACTACATGGTGGAGCACCCAGTTGCTCTGATAGTTTGGAGACTGCTTGAATACATTTAGCGGGTATTATGATTGGGGTACTATCAACAAGCAGTGGCAGATCTGAAAGCTAACAAGGGGGGGCCAAGGGAGCCCACCCACATTTCAAGGGCAGAAACAATTTTTGGGCCCCTAAAGGCCCATAGCCTCCCCCCCCCCCCCCTGGATCTGCCAGTGACGAGTGATGACCTAAAATCAAATCTGTTGTACATAAATATGTTCTTACCATCAAGTTAAATAGATGTCAGGATTGTTTCTTGATTTTCTCTAGCAAGAGATCCATGCGGTTTGCCATAACAGGTTGACCTCTATGTGTTTTCTTTTTTAATGTTTTTTGGGTTTCTTTTTTTCTGGTATTATATTTGTCTAATGCTTCTTGTGTTTCTTTTTGTCTTTTTTCTTCAATCTGCAACAACAGAAAGGACAAATAAATACAGTTTTGATTCTGATAAGATGCAATAAATGATTCGGAGAATTTTGATTGAAGTATTTTGATTGGGTAGGACTTGATCAAAGGATTATTTCTCATCCAAGGAGAGAACCACTCTTAACAAAAAATGAAAAAAAATATTCCAAGTATTTGCATTGATTCTGCAATTTACTTATTGTCCATAATGTTCTTTTATGACGAAAGTCCTAGCTAATGACGTGAAAATATCTCTATTTAATGCAAACTAAAGTACAATTCATCCACAAGAAAGTCTGAAAACCAGAACAACGGCAACGCCAAAGCGTAGCGAATCCCATCGAACAGAAATGGCTGGCATGGCTGACAAACAAAATATATAGCAAATATCGTAAAATAACACCCATAAGAAAGGCCACCATTTTCAAAATGAAGACAAGAAGTACAAGAAGTAAATAAAAAAATCACACACATTTACATGTAAATGCTGGCCACCCAAAATGTCATAAGACAGGATGCAATTCTTACGAGTATTCACATATCAAATATGAACAAAATCGCTCTATTACTTTTTGAATTCTCCATTTCGCTGTTCGCTCTTTGAATCAGAACGTTCGCATATATGGTGCATATATGTACTCAAAAAGGACAAAATTTGATTGGTCAATATTTTTCAACGATGCATTTCGTGTAGCTATTTGTGAGACCCGAAAGTTCTAAATCAAATTAATTACGCAATTTTGTTTTTACACCCGCAAGCTAAATAAAAAAATGACACCATCGGAATTCTTCTTCTTTGTCATTGAATTAATAGTCAGTATACCAGATTTAATCAATAAAAGATTATACAATTAACAACAAAATTCGGAAACGAGTATGTAAGATTTGCTTTCGAACCACTAAACTTGACCTAGATAATAGCGACGTGTCTTCTTTGGTCAAATGCTCAGTTGTTTGTGGGTTTTCAACGTAACTCTATAATGTAATATGAAGATGAGTACTTTTATACAGTTGTTGCATCGATGTTACAGTTTGTAGTGCGGTAATATTGGCATGAACGTGTTGAAAGTCGAATGGAATTGCTTTTTCCAATATGGCGACTAGTCACGTGACTTCTTCTCTTCCGGAATATACTCCCATTTTCAATCATTGTTTTCACCCCGTTAGGAGCCAATAAAATGAAAAAAAATATATGTTATATAAAGATTATTAAAAGACTAATTGTTTCTGTTAGTTTGTTTTCTCCGATCGCATGGAGATTCGATCGAAAATATCGCTTGAAAAATGGGTATGAAAATCCCCATGTTAAACCAACGGGGAAAAACAAGGTAGAAAAATTTTGTTCCCCCGCGAACTGCATCATGGGAAATATTTTGACCTTATAAGGAAAAACTTTCGCGCCATCTTTATTAGAGATTCAATACTACCGAATCCGCGATTTTAAGAATTATAATAAGAAATGTAAAATAACACACTTAAAAATGATGGGCATTTTTCAAAATGGCCAACTACTCCCCAAAGTTTTACTAGACAATGTGCCATGCTTAAAGTATTCACATATCAAATTTGAACAAAATCGCACCAATACTTTTCGAGTTATAGTAAAAATGACAGCCATTTTTTAAAATGGTCACCTACTACGCAAAGTGTCATGAGACAGTGAGGAAGGCTCATTAGTATTCACATATCAAATATGAACAAAATCGCTCCACTACTTTTCAAGTTATAGTAAAAACGTAAAAAATGGTGGCCATTTTTCAAAATGGCCGCCTACTACCCAAATGTCATTAGACATTGGGCAATGCTTAAAGTATTCACATACCAAATATGAACAAAATCGCTCCACTACTTTTTGAAAATGTCATTAAACATTGTTCCATACTTAAAGTATTCACATACCAAATATGAACAAAATCGCTCCACTACTTCTTAAGTTAGAGCAAAATCGTAAAATGATGTGCAAGGCTGCCATGTATTTTTTCTGTTTTTACATTTCTAGCTTAATCAATGTCCTATATAACTTTTTTACATTTAAAACATATTGCTATTACAGTTTTATATGCAGTACCTAAATTACTGTAAAATCGGCACAAAAATGGCCGCCATTTTTAGAGCGGCCATTTTGAAAATCGGTTTCGAGTAGAACATCTACCCCTATTGGGTATATGTGTACAAAATATGAACAAAATCGGGCCAACGGTATTTGAGTTATTGCCCGGACGGACGGACAGACAGACGGACGGATGGATAGACGGACGGACGCATTCCCTATATCCCTCCGAACTTTGTTCGATGGGATAATTACTCTGTTTATCTCAAACATGTTTGAACGTTTTCCACACAACAGTCATGCAAACGAACCTCTTTCTTTAACACATCTTCCTGTGACTTCAATGAGAACTGCTTCTGGGCTGCATAAAAGGCTGACATTTTGTCTTGTTTAGAAAGTCTCCTAAAATCAAGAGCAGATTAAATTCAAAATGGAGAAAGACCAGAAAATATTAAGGTACACATGAAACAGTTTTGTACCTTAAAAATTTCAAATTGATTTATGGAGCAACTTGTATAATAATTGTGGAGACATGAAAAGTGAGAGGCTATCGGTACCTTACTGCCCAACCATCAAGCTAATGACAATGTTGTACCGTTTTAGGTACAATAGAAACACACATGGGTTAGGAAACAATAAAACAAAATGGAAATACCTTGGCATTTCATGCACACTTTTCTCCCCAGATGTTCCTGGTTCAGTTGCTTTCATTTTCTGTTTCTCTTTCTGTAGTAGCTTTCTATAGTCTAGCATCATCTTACGCTTTCTCTTGTCTGCAAACCCTTGCCCTATGGAAGAAATACAGTGCATTAAGTGCAGTACAGTAAAACATTGTGTGTTATCTCTCATAAAAAGTGTTTCATTTCATTTTCGTTTCATTTAATTGAAGTCAATGACTAAAAAGACATTGAGGTGTTTCAAGTAGGGAGGTGTTTCAAGTCTCACTTCAACTAATTATACCTCTCTGTTATGAAATTTTCAATGAAAGGCACTAAAATGAGTGCCTCAAAACATGGGATGAAACTTCAATAAATGGATGAAAATGTCGATCCAAACTTATTACTGAACCTCATAACTATCGTAACTTTACTACAGGTAATAAAAAGGTGTCCTAGAAATACACAGAAAAGTTCAGGATTGGCTTTATCGTAAATTTATGACAAAACCGTAAATCAACAATTGAATTTACGATACTACAAAGTTCCAGGAACATAACCAGGCCATGGCAATATCTCGAGACCCTATCTGTTGCAAGACTATGGCATGACCGTGGTAATGTTATCGTGAAAGTCTGGTATAACCGCGACAATGCTGTATTATATAGCAATGCCTGCCATGACCGTGATAGTGTAATCGTGTAAGCCTGGCGCGACCGTAACCTTTATATGACATTAATGACCTTCATGTTTCCCTGTTGCGGTTAGTATTTTTTATGCATAAACCTTATTAATTGATCATTATAGAAAGATGTGCTATCGAATCGAACCTCCTTGAATGAGAGTAGAGATATAGTTTGTTCGCAAATTATTTATAAGTTAAAAATTAGGGTTTCGCTGTGTCACAGTCATATCAGGCTTTAACCTTACCACAGTCATGACAGGCCTTGCAATCATTATCACGGTCATATCAGGTTTTAACATTACCACGGTCATGACAGGATCCTTGCGATACTTAAAAACACTGATTAACATGGCGACGGTTTTGGCAGGCGTAAGTCTTGCAATAGATAGCATATGAATATCTCTCGGCTCTCTCACTTTCAATCTAGTCTACTCCGATAAAAACACAGGGAGAGAGAGAATTCACCGAAACACATACATATAAAACATGTAAACTTTAGGTTACTATATTTGCACATAGCCATCATTAGATTGATAGGATGTAAAAAATATAGTAAAGTTTAGGCATGAATAAAACTCATGTCTCAAGCTCCTGTGAAAGAAATGTTTCTCAAGTTGAGATCTGTGGTTTATACCTTCTGTTTGGTTGCCAATGTATGTCTTGAACCGTTTGTCTTTAATATTGGCACCACTTTGTTTCATTTTGCCCTTTGTGTGATGGTGGTTTTTAGACTTGATTTTTCCCTGAGGTTTCACCATCATGTGTGTTTTGATTTCTTCTCAAAATGTGACCTGTTGAGTACAAATATAGTCTCAAACAATATATGATAAACAATAATATATGGTCAAGTAAGATATTATTTCACTTGAAATTACTAACAATAAATTGTGTTATATTATTTATACGTTACTACCATGACAATATTGCTTTATATTCGAGGAAAACAATTTATACAACGAGATTTGAGACTACGGACACCTTGTCCGCCATCTTGGATTTAAAATCGCTGAAAAATAGGAAACCGCTAAAACCTTAAATATGTCTATATTTATCTAACGATCTATTCAATAACTGGTGTATTTCCATAGCTAGAATAGTAATCAATTGTTATATACAAGTTTTACACGACTACATTGGTAAGTTTTCATGGAAAAGGATATTTTAGAGTTGCTTTGATAATTTTATTTTTTCAATAATTTTTCATTTTTGCACAAAAATCAAAATGGAATATACAATGCACACGAAATTCAGAAATCAAATCGAATGACGATATATTATTTAAAGAAAGCCTCACTATTTTCAATCAATTTAGTTTCATTTTCTCCTCTCTCATTCTTCAAGATGGCCTACTATAATTACAACTTGATCTATTCTTGCTTTCCACTAGTCAATTTAGAAACCATGGCAATCTCTGAATTCATTGAACCCCTAAGTTTATTGATGTGGTTTGTGCAACTCAATGTCGCATGGCCAGATTAGATTTCAAAGGGGGTTTATTTGAGTTTTTTTTGAGCTTGACTTTTGTTCATAACACAAAGGCTAAAAGAAAACATACTTGATAATTGCTACTTGTAATGTTCGGTCAGATAGATATGTCCTTGATAACTGGTTGTATTGATACTCCTTGGGTAGGGATCTAGAAATAGATTGGACACTCAATTTACAATGAATATGCACTCATTATTATTGTGCTTGGTCAGCATGTTTAACGAGTCATGTTGCTTTGCTGCAAGTAATGAGTGAATTGAATGGTGACTTGAGGTGTCCAATTGTCATGTCATGGTTGGCAAAATTTGTGAGACCTACCATGATAACTCTAGGTTAATTTTGGCATTTTTGGTCATAATGATACAGAATTGAAGCAAATTCAAAATTATCAGAAACAAAATGCATATAGAGTAGCAGACCTCCCTTTGGCAGATGACTTCTCCCGATGCTTTGCTGTAGTGGACTTGTGTTCAGAAGCAAGGTATTTATAATTTTTTGAGAATATCTCATCTCAATCATCACTATTTACAATCACAATCAATGTAATGCAATGTATTCAGAGAGTATAGTGATAAACTAATTATCATTTAACTTGGATCTTCATTATACTATCATTGATATACTCAAACCAATTGTGTCATGTATTTTATTTCGACTCTTGCTTGCTTGAATTAAAACGATTAAATTGTTTTCATATTTGTGTTTCCAGATTCCCAAACACCAAGTTCACATTCCACAATTGCATATGAAAGATGCAATTTTGAAGTGTTTGAAGGCCCCTTTCTCAAAACTATTAAATATCCCATTGTAAAGATTTGCCCCATTGGCCCTCATCCTCAATATGGTTTCTTGCTGGGATGTCACTGGTGTGAATGAACAATAAAAAAAAACTATGTAAGTTCATGTTTTGAGTAAAATGTCAGCATTTGCTAAGTTACATGTAGATGAAGGTTCATGTGATTTTGAATATTAATTTTAGTTTAATCAATCAAGCATTTATGATTTAAGAAGCATCATTGATAAGCTTTAAAGAAAGTAATTTCATTTTTTATATTTCAGATCCAGACCACAAAACTGTATTATTCCAGTGATACAGCTTTGACCAATTTGATGCTCAGTATTATATTTTAAAGCTGTACATCCCACCAGGAAAATCATACTCTGTCCCTACCATTGTCCAAGCTTGTGATGTCACTGGGATAAGTAAAAAAAAGTAGGTGCAAAAAGTTTCTAATAGTTATGGAGAAAAATGTTAAATGATGTAAAAGAGGATTTTTTTAGAATGTATTGTAGTACAAGTAAGTGCCAATACAATAAACAAATATAAAAATATTTTCTTGTGATATAGTAATTAAAATGGTAACACACCTGTAAAGCTGGAAAAAAGGTCAACAGAATCCTTTTTGCAGCATTATGCAACGCAAGATGTTCTGCCCTATTTTTATTTCTTCAATAATTACTGTATGACTATGTAGTGTATAGTATCCTTATCAAGTTGACTGTATTACATCACATTTTTCATTTTCAGAATTCCCTGTCTATCACACGTAGGCTTCAACCACCCAAATCCCATTTATTCCAAGTTCCCATTGGTTTACAAGGCCCGCCAACAAACTATTTTCAGACCAGAGGCAGAGAGATCGACATTCAATCATGATTGACTGAACATATTATTGACAAAGGAAGCCTTACAATCCATAAACAAAATCTACTGAAATCCAGAAGGAAGACCTTGCAACAACTGATCAGATTGATGATAAACATCGACGACCTGAACCTAACTACAAAATCAAATAAAAGATCACATAGTATCCAAGTAGAGGGATCAAATCTGTACATCATCAAGTACAATATTCAAGAAAGGATTAGTCTGAAGACACAACTGCCATACATCTGAACATCAACATGGCCCAACAAGGAGATGACTGCTATTTTTTCTACTACTCCAGTTGTTCAAAGGTAAGCCGTTCACAAAAATGATCTCATATATCACACTGATCTAAATTTTACATAAAAGTACACATCGGTCTGGAAGTATATTGCAGAATTTTGTTTGGAAAAATAATACAAAGATGATACAAACCCCTGCAGTTATACCCCAATTTTCTCTAAAATACAGACAAAGCATTTTGTATAAACTGACATTATAAGCATAATTTATATCTGGCATCATGTAACCCCTGTCTTGAAACACAATTAATCTATAAACCCCTTGGTAACTCCATTGTGTTTACTCATTTCTATTACAGGGAGATATGTGTCCATTTCGCCATTGTGAAGCTGCCCTAGGTAATGAAACTGTATGTTCCTTATGGCAAGATGGATGCTGTACAAGGAGAGTCTGCAAGTTTAGACACATGGAGATAAAGGTAAGCCAAGTTAATAATTTCACAGGTACTGTGGTATTAAAATGATGAAGGTCACAACAACATGCCTTTGGTATAGCTTTAGCTAAATTATGCAAGCCACATTGTTTATTATTGAAAGACCACATGGTGTTATGTCCATAACGAGGGGCTATATTACTATAAAGCTTGTATTGTCTCTTATAAATACCGGAGTAGATTGATATGAGTCATTATATTATAACATTAAAGATTCTGCATTTAGGCTTTTGGAAATTCTAATTTGTAGACTGTTTCACAAATAAATATGTCCATATTAATCATTGTAGAAAGACCGTTCATTGGAGCAGTGTTACTGGGAGACACAACCTGGGGGATGTACCAAGCCCCACTGTGCATTCAGGCATACAAAATCTGATGACATCCTCCCGGCTTCAAACCACATAGGTAAGCAAGTTATGCCATGTTGAACACTGTCGCAATCTCCTACAAGTATATACAGGGTGGTCCAAAAAAATGGGACACTCGTATTTCGAAAATACGTGACATATTATATACCAGTGGATAGGGAATTTACTTATCTTTAATTTGGTATACCATGAGTTCAAATTTATTATAATGTCTGTCAACCAGCGTCCATAATATAAATGACGTCATTTTCGTTTCAAAACCGGTTTTCCGAAACTTGCAAAAACCAAGTTTTTTGTCAACTTGATTTACATAAACAGACGCTCAATATGTCCACCATTTTGATCAAATATAGCCCTCGATTTTGGCCTAAACTGGTCAAATGCATCATTGACATGCTGTTGAGACAGTGAATTCAACTTTTCAATATTTCTGTCCTTAATGGACTGATAAGATGTAAGGGGTTCATGGTAAACCAATTCTGTTAGTTCTCCAAATACGCAGTAGCCACAGACATTGACATTGGATGATCCAATTATGTTGTTTTTGAACCATCCTGATATGAGCTCATTTTCGAATCATTACATTTTCCAACAAAATGGGGTTCCAAGCAATAGATCTCGCAAGAGTGTCAAATGTTTAAAGGAAAATGTGCCTAGATTCATTCCCCTTAATCACTGCCTCGCCCAGATCACCCGATTACCCAACGTCTGCGACTACCACGTATGGGGAGGACTGACAGAATTGGTATACCATAAATCCTTATATATCTGTATATAACAGACTTTAAAGTAAAGATTTCTCTGAAGCAAATTAAGGTTGAAAGTGAATGCTTTAACTTCTAGTTCATTTTTGTCAATCATTGATGATAGTCTAGACCATTTAAGATAGAAACTGGTAAACATTTTTTGATCCCATTGCTCAATCATATAGGTCCCCAGCTAGCCCTTCAAAATTGAGCCAAAAAAGTTGTGTGAATTGCTGTAATTTTGATGTGTATCATTGCAGTATCTGTCACCAATGCTACCACATCTGCCAGCAGTTTAGCTGAATCATTTGACCGTCTAATAGCAAAGCCACTAGAGATGAAGGTAAAGAAAAGACTGAGTATTGAAGAGGAGCAGATACCAAGCCCCATTGTACAACCTGTTGTCATTAATCCACTGTCCGATGGTGAGTAGATATTTGGATTCTTGTGGCTTACTCTATTGAGTGAATTCTTGTGCTTTATCCTATTGAGTGAATTTTTGTAGCTTACTCAATTGAGTAAATTCTTGTGGCTTACTCAGTTGAGTGAAATTTTGAGTCAATTGATTATTGCTGCACGTGTATGAAACTGACTTGCCCATACTCCAGCTTGAATTAGAAGGCCTGTTTGTGATTATGTGAAGTAAATACTTTACAGTTATTTTATGTTTATAGAGAATTCCATGCAATATTGAGTCTATTTACTATGCTTTGGGCCTTGGAAAAGCAATTGATTTATAGATTTGTTTTGATTTGATCCCCCAATTTTATAAATGATTAAGTTGTGTATTTACATACCTGGATTCTTCACAGGGCAGTCACCTGGGTATTCTGAACTCACCCAAGGTAATAGGGATTAAATATTTTTTTATGATTCTCAGCATCTGTCACACATTACTATTAGTACGCTTATTTACTTGTTGGATTCCTAGTATCAAAGATCTCTACATATATATTTTTCACTTTAGTTTTTACTGATTAATTAATTGTTAGAAACCTCCTATGGCTATGAGGGTAGCCTGAAGTGTTTATTGGGAATCAGATTAAGGGTTCACAAAGTCATGTTCTAAGATGTCACAGTAGAGTTCAACAAGGGTGTATAGCTCAGCATCAATCATATAAACATACATACTAATTAATTAGACATCATAACCCCAGTTAACCCAGTTAACCCCAGAACTGAGGATAGAACACCATATTTTTGAAGACTTGCATCTACAGGTCTGTCAACAGATCATGCCTTAATACACATATCATGTGTAGTTGCTAATTTTTGCTTTATTTTCTTTTGTAATTGTTCATTTCCACTAAAATTTGGCACATACATAAGGTGTCAGATCCTGCATCTGTTGATATTATTTTCAAGCCCATTACCCCATATGGCAAAAAGTTATGGTTGTGATAGCAACAGGAGGAATAAGCCATTGGAGCTGCTAATAGTTTTACCTTAATTGCACATGCAACAATATCTTAATATGCCCATCTTCTAAGAAAAACAAATATGTATATTCAGAATCAGATGCGGAGAGTTCATCAGGACATACACCTGTGAAGAAGAAGCCTCCAGTTCGCCTAAAGGAGGTCACTGTACCCAGCCAGCCCACATTTATACAGACTAGGCGCTCTTCTGATGCTACAGGTATGTGTAGGTTGTATTTTGCTATACTAATAGCATAAGATCACCCTGTTGAATATTGGCCAGGTTGATTATATAAATCACCATTCAGTTTGTTAAGATCTTGCTTTTACTATTCAGGGGTTTCATTAGTTGGCAAAGTCAACAGGTGATTTTCACCAGTTTTGACAAAATTGCCTGTTGTTTATAGGGACTTTTCAACTTTTCCATGTTAAATTTATGATTTCCATTCATTTTGCATGTTGTGAGAAATTCTTGTGAAACTCCTCCTTCTGGTCATGGATATTCACCGAATGACCCTAACAGAATGATATTTGACATATGAAGATGAACACTTGAAGATGTTCTTGTAACACCTTGCGGTATGATGTAATATGCACACATTTACATTTATTGATAAAGGAATATTTTATTTACAGATATCACAGATGTAAACGTTGAGATCAAGTCATTAGAGCAGATAAGAATGGAGAAGTTGGCCAGAGCTAAAGCACAACTTGGTAAGTATGATCCATGACAAAATGGAGAACAAATAAAAACACAGTTTATGACATGATGTATTCAAAGTACATCAACAACTTAACGGCACACTTTATGATAGGGTTGTCTGTTTTGTGTCACAAGTAAGCAATCTGCATATCATTCTTTTTCATACAAATTGAATTGTTCCTCTTTTATTTTGTGCTAACTGATTATCTAGTCAGCAGTCAGTAGAGCTCTACTGATATACATGTATGTTTTTTGTTCTTTTTAGCTGAGTTTGGAGAGTTTGAAGATTACCTTGTAGAAGATGAGGAGGATCAGAGGTTCATACAAGGTAACACAGATATTTTATTTTATCTTTACAATGGAATAAATTCTAATCCACATTCCACTTAAAAAAATAAAGCATTGTTTATGCTCCTTGATATTTTTATGGGAGAGGATGATTACCTTTTTCAGCACTTATTCAGCACTTAAATTAAATTGTGGTTGATATGAAATATTCACCACTAGATTCTGGGGATTTCTGACTTCTAGACATTGTTCTGTCTATTATGTACCTATGTAGTGCTTCTGAATCCTCCAATCCATCTGTTTGGAGTCGTATTTGTGGTGTATTGTGTCGTTCCTTTATGACAAGGTCATTATATGACAAATAAGTACTCAGCAACTTGTCATCAAAAATGTTTACTCAAAATACATCATTTAAATAATTTCACAAACTAAGATATGATGTGATTGTTTTATGTATGCATGGTTTCTAGAATATAAGCAAAAATATGTTTCCACAATTTCTTGAGTATCCTAATTAATACAAAACTGAATTTTATCTGAAACATTTAAAATTGAAGAAATCATTTATTTAAATCAATTTCAGTATTATTTACAATATTTATAAGTTGTTATAATAACATTCTTTGAAGCAGCCATTGACCACTGTATTAATACATTAATGAATTCTGCTTGGTCTGACTGATGTGTGAACAATGATTAGTACTATTTTATCACTCCCATTTGGTAAATAGGCAACCTCCAGGTGTGTTCATTCATTCTCTGTAGTCAGTGGCTCTGTCCCTGTCGTGATGAAGGAATATTTTGTCATCTAATTCTGAGTCAGTGTTAATTTCTTCAAATATTGTAAAGAAGGTACAAATCATTTGTCTGTTTTGAATCTGAGAAAGAACAATTGATTTGCAGATCTGTAACTGACTGTTCTACAAATGTGACCCCTGCACAATGAATGAATGTTTATTGAGAATAGTATTTAGAGAACTATTAGCCAATAGAAGTCATTTCATTACTCCCATATTGTTGGTAAGCAGGGGGAGGAGACTGTATCCTAGTATATTCATCTGCTCCCTGTGTATGTTGCTGAGTCTGGTTGTAATCACTGGATTCAGTTTGGTAGGTGAATCTTGTAGTCATATTCTGGGATTGACCCAACCCCTGGTTTTGTACATAATGGGGTTGTAGCTGGCCGTGTGGGGGAACAGAGACAGCCTGCTGGATGAAACAATAAGCAATGTACACTAAATAATCTTGTTAGATTCTGGTTAGTTACTTAAATAAATTGATAGAGAGGACATGTTAGCACTGTTTTGATGAATGTTTATTTGTAAAATAAATAATTGTCTCTCTTGTTGCCTTTAAGTACATGTATAAGGGAAAATAGTTGCAGTAAATCTAATGGAGAGGGTGATAATACACCCCACTGGCATTGGTATTGATATTTTGTTGATGCCAACAACATTTTGTGACTGTTGAATGAATACATACAGTTTTTGGTTTCATTCTGGTAATTGTGATTTAATAAGATTCCCTCTTTGGTCATTGTATATAAGAAAAAAGAAACCAACCTGTTGGTTGCTGCCATGTGAGATAAAATGGCCCGGGGAATATGGTGAGTTCATCTGCACAGATCCTGTAGCTGGGACATACACAACCTGAAATCAATATTTGAACTTAATATTTGAAAATTGATGGTACAATTTGTAACAGAAAGTTTGCAACATCCCTAATATGATTGATTTTCTATCTCAATCTTGGAATATTGGATCATAATGTAATGTGTAATGAGGCAGTATTGTGCATTTTATACATTCAAACATGGCTAATCTGAGTACAACTGGAATTGGCCAAAAGTGTTCGTATTGGCATGTGTTCACTAGTGTTGTCGCGATTAATCGATACATCGCGATATACATCGCCAAAGCTGGTTCTGGCGATGCATCGATGTCTGAAACAAAACATCGATGTTTTTAAAAAATTTCAATTTGCTAAAAATCGCCCTTTCTTATCTTATTCCGACGCCAATTGCTTACCTTTTTTCATGTCATATTTCATTTTCAAATGTTTTCTGATATTCTTTCGCTTTAAAACTGTTTTAGCTAGTCGAAATGAACCATTAATCTAAAAAAAGTACTTTACTTTCATTTCACCGTTACTATGTTCCCGGATGTACCAGCTACTCTTATTAATTTGTTCTGTTCGATATTTTAGTGCATTAGCGTTCGGTATTTCAGTGCACTTTTCTTGAACTTTTTCTCGATGTACATCGCGATGTGCATCGATGTTAACTACTGAAAATTGCCGATGCATCGATGTACGATTATGGCACATCGCGACAACACTAGTGTTCACATGAAAGTCTTTTGAAAAGGAACTCATATTTAGACTTGTTAAGATTAGTGAGTTGTTTGAATAGACACAATGAAGAATACTAACCTGAATCACACTAGAACTAGAACGGCAGCACACTGCCCGGCATGACAAGCATGAAGCTATGATTGAGGCCACAAAGACCACCAATGCAAAGAATGTCAGAATTGCATTAAAAGCAATCCTTAAGCCGAATCCTGGTTGCTTCTCATCATAATAATCAAATTTTGGCCGTTTTGTAGGAATTGCAATTAGTTCATCATATTCCTTTTTATTTAGTCTGTACGCAAATGTTTCCTCACAATAGGTGTCATTCACAATCTCGTAAGGATGGGTACAGTTGTAGTCCTCTATGTAGTCCAGTAGTTCATCCATGTAGTCAGGAAACTCCACAAAGGCACCCTCATCCCTGTAGTCCAATCCTCCAACAGAGGCTATTACAGTACCTGTTGTGTGTGCCCCAAATATACAGGCACTTAATACAGCTAGTATAACAGCAAGGACCATCAGGCTAACAATCTTACATGTAGATTTCATTTTTGATGCACAAATGCCAATTCCTCCAGTGACCATCATGAATACACCTCCCCAAAATCCTGTTGCACCTACAGCAAATTTGACACCCAATGTCAAGCCAACGATGTTTGTGATGAACATGATGATGCCAGAAATGATGAGCATGATGCTTAATAACATCACACAATTGTGAGCCCAAGCAGGTCTTGGAGCCTTGGCGTAGTTAGGGTTAGGATTCAGTGGCTGCACTACAGTTGGGGGTACTGTGTATGTGGCCCGTGGGGGTATGTAGGTGGCTTGTTGGGGAACATACGTGGGTCGAGGGCTTATATTTCCCAGCAGGGGATGCGTTGGGCATGGTGTTGTTGGCGACAATGTGGGGCTCATCAATGGCTGCACCTGTTGCACTCCTGGTGTGATGTTTATTGGTGGGAGTACTGTCCTCTGATTCCTTTTCGGACCTGCTATATCATTACCTTTCTTCTCTTCACGTGGTGTTGCCACATCAGTCTCAATACTAGCATATCCTTGATTATTCATATTTTTGGTTTATGCCTTTGCCTTACCAGAGAAAGCTGGCCCCTGAAAATTGACAACAGTATGATGAAGATTTTCTATTCTAAAAAAAGTACAAGAAACATTTACTTGATATATAACACAGTTCACATGTATGCATAAATATGTATGGGTGACTGTTTAAGCTGTAATTTATTTTTCTTACGAATGTTGTTTTTGGTAATATTAAAAGTTTAAAGTATTGGTTCATTTCCGATTGTCCTTTCAAATATATTTCCAAACAATATTATATGTGCCCTGAGGTTTTATAGGCTTATATTATAATTTATAAGTGATTAAACATAATTATTTATTCATTTAATAATAGTAATATTAAAGACATATTTATATCATACAATATATATATTACCTATATATTTGATTTTATTCAGAATTTCAAAAAGCTCTCCTTCTAGTAATTGTGATTCTTGCTACAAAATGGCGGTGATTATTTATCGTATAAGCAGTTATGTATGTCAAGCAACCATTGGAATATTCCTTCAAATGGCAAATAAGATTAAGCTGTTCGCATGTATAAAGTATTCTAAATCTATTCATATTTACAATGCTCAAACTTGAGGTTGCAGTGGAATATTAGTGGATTTATGGAATAATCCTGGTCAATCTTGTATGGCTTTCTATAGCTTTTTGGATTCATGGCCATAACGTTATAGAAGTCTCAAAATTACTTTTGGAATTATGCTGTATTATAATGGCCTATTGTTAGTTATGTGTCGTGTTAAAAAGATCACTACCTGCCAATATTTCTTGCCACCCCACCTAAAATTGACAGTAAGTTAATCAAAAACGTTGAACTCATACCTCTCATACTTTATTCCTTACTGATTCCACTCATGACATTGGCATTTTTACATTTTTACAGGCATTTATTATGAGGATTTCCTTATTTATTGCGTTCAACATGATTGATTCCATCCTACAAATTCATTGCATTTACAAGTAACATCTAGGTATCCATGTTATGCTGAAAAGTATAGCCAAAAAAACTTTTTTTTCTGTTTTCAAACCAAGGTCGTACAAATCTTGAAATCTTTTTTTGACCTTGACCTTTTTATTTATATACATAATCTTAATTCACGTGAACGTTTTAATCTGCTTTTTCAGATGAAGTCTCTACTGTTTCCTCTAGAATATCTCACAGACTTGGTCCATCAACAGAGTTTGATTCCCATGATTCCCCACCAGCTAGGAATGTTATATCTCAACCAATTAAAGCATCAAAGTCGCGGGTTGTTCATCCGAAACTTGCGCCTCCTCCCATTCCCCAGACACGTATCAAGCCGCCACCTGGACAAAGTACCAAAACAAAAATAGGAATAAAGAAATCAGAGTCGAGAAATCCAGTTAATATTGGAGTGCGCACTTTGGCTGAGATTAAAAAGTCAAAAATCAAACAGAATGGTAAGAAATGTTGCTGTGCATTGTTGTAGGTTTTAATATTCGATTAAAAGTAGCACGGTTACATTGCCATATGCATTCTTACATTTCTGGATTCATATACCTATTGTTTTTATTTATGATATTCTTATATGACATCAATGTATTTTTCACAATAAAATGCAAGAAATATATGAAGTTTCCCAATCAGATTAGGTCAATGAACATATTTAATTTATAAAATAATATGTTTAGAGAAAAAAACTTCAACAATAAAAACCTTGACAATAAACATTTACAATTTACCAATTTTTGGTATAGATTGTTTAACAAATCTCTGGTGCTTACATTTTTCCAGATATCAGTGACAAATTAAAAAATGATGATAGAATTGCCAGGCGACGTATTGCATTAGCAGAAACAGGTTAGAAAATTAAAATTCTATGGTGGTATAGTTTTCTGATGAAACTTGAAATATATACATGTTAAGAATTAAATTATAATGTGATGCTATAATATATATGACAAAGTAACAGATGTGAACAGATCTATGTCAAAGAATTCTATTGAAGTATTCAAGCCCCTATACCCCCATTTTATAAAATCTAAAATCTAGGATAACAGTGTTGTCATGTGAATGCTTATTTGGAACGAAGCAATCCTAATGCATAATTATTACTTTCAAAAATGTTTTATGATACTTTATTTAGGTGTATCTATACGAGAAAAGCGCCTGTTGAACAAAGATGATGACAAACAGATTGGCAATGAAGGTAATTGATTTCTTGAACATCTTAAAAGTCTCTAACATTTCTCTTTCCAGTTTGCAATATAATTTCACAAGCTTAAAGAGAGAATCAGAGATAGCGAGCAGGCTAAACAAAAAATTGTTCCAATTTTAGAATATTTTTGGCTCATGTCATTCCTTGTCATGTCTATTTTCTAAAAATCAGAAAAGTGCATATACTTTATTCCAGGAAAACTAAAGATGTTTACAATAATATATTATTTTTCTATAAGAATGGTTACCATTCTTATTATTTGGGAGAATTTTAACATTTTTCATCCACTTTTTCACTTTGAATCATTAATAACTTCTCCAATTTATAACATTTTGTGAATCATTTTGGAGATATTGTATTTGATATTGTAAGGAATAGATTGGTCATTCAATTATACAAGTTGCTTGTAATTTTGTTGCCCCCTATAGATCTGATTCTGCCTTTAATATCAATTCAGTAACTTTCTACTGAATAAAACTTGGGATGTGATATTTTCAAAAAAAAGTTTCCATCTCATCCCTTCATATTTTTCTAGTTCCTTTCTGAAATATGACATTCCTATAAATGTAATTGTACGTGCAGAATAGTTTACTAACTCGATCATATCAAGTTTATGCTATGTATCTTCTTATGTTAACAGATGAAGACATTCTACAAATGGGAAGGAGTAAGAGACAGAAAATTGATATTTCCAAGAGGCTGGGCATTAATGAAAACTCACAAGGTAAGGTATAATGCAAAATATGAAAATATAACTATGATTCTAACATGAAACTTAAGACATAGCCAATCGTAATAGGTACCAAAAGGTATGTACAATGTACATGTACATTATTTATAAAGCATGTTCTACTTGGTTCTGGTTAATAATGCATGTAATCCTGTGATTTACAGAGAAGGTGGCTGCAGAGACTGTTGAGGTGAAAGTCAAAAGTCTTGATGAGATCAGGCGAGAGAAAGCTTTGCTCTCCATGCAGAAGAAGACAGAGGGTAGTGCCTCATCTAATGGTGATAATACAGGTACATCTTCCTCTCCTACTCCTATCTTCCACTTCATTTAGAATTTCCTGTGTTGATTAATCTCTAACAATAAGTGTTTACTTTATATGTTTTCAATTACATATGATTAGTGAGCAATTCTGAAAATTAAGACATGTTAAGGATAACCTATGGTCCTGTGTTTGAGTGGCCAATCAATGTGTACCTTTCTTGTGTTTTAAATCTTTCTTTTTTCTGCACGTGTGTTATTTAAGTAGCACAGTCTTTAATTTTGATTCTAAAAGCCACCAAAGTTAAAAGAAATTATAAAAATAACCCAAACTTGTAATATGTTTGGTATGATTGGTTTTACTTGATTTACCGAATACTTGGTGAGCTATTGTTTCAAGGTTCAGAATCCATACGTACAAAAAAAATCTATTTAAATCTATTTTTGGCATCACCAAAAGAGACTGGGCTGTTTTAACTTTTAACTTATACACTTAACAAAATATTCAACTCTGTAGATGTAGACACCACTAACAAGCTTGAGAGTGAAACTATACCCAAACATGAATCAAGATCTGTACCAGTGGAGCAAATCAAAATAAAAACACTTGCACAAATCAGAGAAGAAAAGAAGAAAAGTTCAGGTTTGTACAAACTATTAAGTAATAAGTACTACCTAGTTTTTCAATCTCTGTTGGCTGAATTTAGACTGATGATGTGTAAACTGGTAAACACTACTTTTTAAAGATTATTAATTTTTTGCCACTTTGTGTAAATGGGAAATCAACCTTTTTCAAATTATCCTTTGCGAATTAAAGAATGCGGTTACAACCCACTTTGAAAATGAACTTGACATCATTCCTTTGTTCTCGCAATTTCACTTTCTTTCATTTCTATATGTAGAGATATTTCTCCAATAACCCAGATGCGAGTAGAAATAATCTTGATTTACGTCATTAAAAATTCAAAATTCAGTCAAAGTAATATCATATTTGAAATCTACATGAAAAATTACATCTAGAAATGTGGTTTTAAAAAGTGTTTATCAACTTTGAAAAATTAATTTTCTTTGAAAATGTGACTTCTAGCTCGGGGAGATTCCCCATAGACCCCATGCTATAAAATCACAAAAAATGAAATATCTTTTCTTTGAGTGGACAGATAATATTTTGCTTTACTGGACATATTTTCATTAGTATAAGTATCAGACACATAAGGGTTATATGAAAATTGAGCCACTTAAATTGATAATATTCAAGTTTAAGGGAACTTTCTTATATACCTGCCATGTTAATTGACCCGAGTCAGCCACCTGGTGGTGAAACTGGTAACTACCTACTCGCATTTGGGTAATTGACATGATTTATTATATTATAGAAAAACCAGTAGAAATAAAGATCAAGACTTTAGAAGAGATTCGCCAAGAGAAGGCACTGAGACTGGGGAATACATCTAATGGTGACCAAGACACATCACCAAGATCTGATGTGAAAAAGCAGAAAATCTCAGTGAAGAAGGTTTTACCGAGAGTCAGACAATTGTACCAGCCACCTAAATCAAGAGGTACTGAATTGCAGCATTTTGAAAAAAAAATTCACCTGATATAAAGAATGTCACCAGTAACCGCCTGAATAATGGGAAATATCTCAGATTTTTTAATTGACATATTTATCATTACATTTATATGATTTCAAATAAGATAAAAAGAATACTCTACTCTGTACAGTCATGGTCAATCATTGTCCCATACAGATGAAAAAGTATATATGCTGTTTTGACTATTAAAATGACAATATAACAAATATAATTGATGCATGAAAATAATATCGTTTGAATAATAAATCCTATATGGCGATCACTTAGTATCTCACAATGTTCTATTCTGTATTTTAGATGCTGAAAGTAGTTCTAAAAGCCCTCCAAAGAAAGCAAGCCAATTAGATGAAAATCCTGGGAACACAAGCCCTGTCAAATCCAGCAAGAAAATTAACTCTATATGGAGTAAGAAACCTGATTCAAGTCAAACTGTAGAGGTGGATACACCTAAACCAACTGAAGCTAAGGTGAGTTGAGTGTGGAGAACAAGGCATGCTTTAGACATATAACACATCATGAAAAAGTAAACATTCAAAATTTCTCTCAAGAGTAATTCTGTAATTGTACACTTCCTTTTTAAATTCTTACAAGTTGTATTTCATTAATTGAGTTCTAATTATTGACTTCATTGGCTCATATTGATTGGGGTTTTGAAATGAAAATTAATTAATAATTATTATTTATTTTTGTTCATCATATTTTCGAATTTTGGAATTGTATTGCTTAAAGCCATATCCGTCATTAAATTGAGCTGGCCTTACTAAAAATACTCTTGTACTTAATTTCAGTCAACCAATGAAATTAAGATCAAGACATTTGCTGAGATAATGGCTGAGAAGAAACAACGACAAAAAGAGATGCATAATTCCAGTGCAGTTTCAGAGGCTGATCCTAAGCCAACTATGAAAAGGAAGTTCACTCCAGTTGTGTTTGATCTTGATGCTAAAGGTCAGTCATTCTTTTTTGCATTGTCTTTGTTTCATTATGGACTGCTCTGTTTGGCATTGATTAGTGCTGCTTTTACTCTATAAATGTCAGTATCTTGCTCCTCATTACCTTAGGCCTATGTTGTTCCCAATTCATGTATACAGCTTTCTTTTTTCTTTTGTCCAAATCTTTAAATTGTCTCCAGTTCATCGTATTTTGTCCTCTTTTGTTTCCTTTGCAATCGGTTATGTGCAATTTTATTTTTAAATTTTATAACTAGCAAAAAGGTTGAACTTAATTTTCTACTTTCAGGTTCAGACAGTACTATAGGCCATAGGAGCACCAGTCAACAAAATAGCAAAATTACTCCAAGTTCTAAGCCTGTAGGAGCTGTAGCCAGACAAACTAGAAAAATTAAACTAAATAAAAATATAGCTAAAGTTATGCCTAGAACATCAGCTGAAGCAAACAATCAAGAAAATAACAGCAACTCATTATCCTCAAGTATGTCTAGTAATAAAGATGTCACAACGGCCAGCACTCGGACTAACTTACCTCAGGGTATTGTGACATCATCAACAGATAATGATACACAAGAAAAGCTAGTAACATCATCAAAGACTTCATCAGTATCTGTTGAACCAGAGATCTCAAAAATAAATTCCCAAACTCCGTCGGGCACAGTGGATAGTACCCCCACTCCTAGTACCCCCTCTCCCTCTGTTCAGACACCCCCTAGAGCTTTGTCTCCTCGGGTGTCAAGCTCTACATTTAAGAGGAAGATCTCTCCTAGTGTCAGTAGGCAGCATTCTAATAACAGTGATAGGTAAGTCATATTTGATCACTATGCGTATTTTTTCTTTTAGTGTAAAGGACAGGGGTTATTCATACACTATATTAAGACACTGAAATTGAAAATGCAAGGTCAAACTTGTACATTAGGTGCACTAAGGCCTGAGAAATGACCATTAGGTGGTCATATTTTGAATTAGAACATGACTGAATTCACGCCTTCTATAAACTGTAAACAAAGTCAACATTTCATCTGGGGTATATTCGCGAAGAATACCCCTAGTAATACGTATAATATGTGACGTCATAAATGAAGGACCATGTGACGGACAAAAATGAAAATTCGAAACATTTTGGTGAGTTTTCATGTTCAAATTGTAGACCTCAGAGCAGGGGTAATATCGTCGAATACAACCCTTAGGGCTTGGCACAAACACTTTCGAACCCTATGGAAAATGTTTGTGCCTAGCCCTGCGAGGTGTATTCCTATAATAACCAGGATATAATGTCATTAGGCAAAAAATTTCCACATATTTAATATACAATTCTTATGTAATTCATTTTTGTGACAGCATGTAGTGTCAGTGTTTAGCATCTGGAACGATTGATAAACCTTTTGTCATGTCAATGCCTTGTTTCAATATTTATCAAGATGGGCATTATTTATAACATTAAATACTTATTTCCAGGATGCACAGTGCAGAAAAGAAATCACGCAATCCGAGCTCCAACGCTGATGATGATCTAGACCAGTTACTGAATGAGATAGGAGATAATGAGGACCCAGTTCCACTTGAGGAGAGTAAGTCTGCAGACGATCTCCTTCTGGAGCTGGAGGAACTGCTAGAGTGATACATCTGTACATAAATTGTATTAATTGACAATTCACTTGGGAGTTGTTTTACTGTATATTCGTCATAATGACAGCATTGAAAATTATGGATTTGACAAGATGAAATGAAATGCTCAAATATGGATGTGAGGATTTTAAATATATTCCAGCATTACCTTACAATTACATGTATAAAATTGTGGATTTGAGAAGATGTGACAATAACCCTCAAAGGATTTGACGTGTATTCAGAATGAATGTGACAGTCTAACTTCAACAAAACATAGGTTACCATTCATGCATAAAACAATGTCTCATTTAGAGACATGGATTTTGGGATATATGAAAAGATGCTCAAGGTGAACTGCTATCATTAAACCAAACATTATTACATCACATGTGGAATTTTTCATATAGTTGAATATGCTCAAAGATTGATGTGAAACGAAAAATGTAATGATTATTGATGTAGCATAAAACGGTATGTTAAGGCTGGCAGAAAAGAAGTAATTTGGCCGACTAATTGTGACGTTTCATACCTAAAATCTTAGTTTGAAAAACAGTGTGCTGATTTTAAGGTGGGCAGAGAAGGGAGTAATCTAAGTAATTGTGACCTTTTATACACCAGGCCAAGATTTGTCCCCCTCTGACTACCTCAAAGCTTTGATTTTGTATAAAAAAGTGCTGATTTTAAGGAGTAATCTGACTAATATGACATAATATTATGCAAGACTCCAAACTCACAATTATGTTGATAAGGCATAAAATAAAGATAACAAAACAACTTATCTGGTGAATGTACAGAGAAATAACAATGAAAAGCAGCTATTATTGTATTTTGTTTGCCATACTACAGTTAACATTCAAACACAATCTCCAGTGAAGATAATATTAGTATGCGCTTATTTAGGCTGCATTTTTGTACATGATTTTTGACCGCAAGAAAGATTTTTATCCTAAAAATTAGCTAGATTGTGGTTAGACTGTGTGATACTCGCTGTTAAAACAGCTTAAATTTTACGAAACTGTATCAAATTCACTTTCTCCGCGGTCATACAAAAATACACCTTTAAACTGCATCCAAACTCTATGAGAAAGTTAAAGAAAATATAAGAGTCAAAAAGTATACACACACTGTATGTACTTCAGGTTGTGACGTTAGGATGAATGCATGTCCCTCCTGGATAAAAATGTGTTGATGATCATTTGTCATGATATTTTCAATATATACATGTTGCAATAATCAATTAGGCCTATTGAAAGATAAAAAATAACTGTTTTCATGCTGGCGCTTAAGTGAAACCCTGCTGACTGCATTATTTGTATGTTGGAAAGTGTAAAACCAACTTGTTTTGTTAAATTGAATAATGCACAGTACTGTTATTTTTAACAACTAATTTCTCAGTGTTTAGTAAAGTATCAGACAAAGTCTTGAATCCTAGAAACATGAGCTAGCATTGATCAGAATGTCTTGGATAGCAACTGACTTATATGAAACTGAAAAGAAGCTATGTAAGTTGTAAGTAAATTGCTTCTGTACAACTGATACATGTTTTATTTTTACATGTGCCTGGTACATGACCATTATCACATATGACACCATATTTGAAATGTCTAAGAGATATAATGAAATGTTTAGGCGTAAAATCTCCATGAAGTGAGGTTCAACAAATTCATCTGAATAATATTTGACTATTTGTGACCTGAAGGAAACATCACAATGTGTGGAGGAAATGCATGATTTACACTTAAATCAGATTAGTGTTTACATAAATATCTTAATAAATACTGTATTGTGAGGCTTCTTCTATTCTTGAAATTTTCTTAAGGTTACATCTCTTAATTAAACCTGATTTGGATATGTTGTAGCGTAGTTTATTTAATTAAAACATGACTGTCAAATGATTAATTCAAATCTTATCAAAGAATGTTATGATCATCTTGGCCTGTATTTCAATTTGATATGTCTCGACTTTAATGTTCAGTTAATATAATGATGAACAAAACGGTATGAAAGGCATCTGATTTTCTTGTGAAATAATGATTGAAGATATACTAGATAGTAGATTTATATTAGTAAATGAAAACACAGATAAAATCCTGTGCCTAGGGCTGATGTGAAAAGTTGCTATTTTCTAGTGAAATAATGATTGAAGATATACTAATCTAGTAGATTTATGTGAGACTGTGAGACATTGCCCGAAATGAAAATCTTGTCTCAAGTCTGAATATTGAGTATCAATTCTGCAATTTGGATAATAGCAAATAGGCAACAAGAAAATAAAATATATAGCGCCAACTTTGTACCAAGTATGTATTACATTGTGGCAAAGAATAAATCCAAGTTAACATGAGTAACAAGTTAATATCAATAGAATTTACAAGTTTTACAATGATCTGTTTTGTGAAATATCATTGCTCCTATTACATGTATTATGACTTGTATTGTTTTAGGTATGGTACTGTTGAATAAATGTGTGTCACTAAAGCTATGACAAAAATATGTATAAGTATGAAAATTAAAATCTACAAATGGATTGTAATTGTACATACATAAATGAATAAAAAAACTTAAATACACAAAATAATCATGTTATATTATATAAATGTTTTTTATTTTTTTAAAGAAAACTTAACATTTTTTATTTTCTAGCCTTTATATTTTAAGTACTAAACTACTTATTTTTGGTGTGTGAAACAACTTGACTCAATTCAAGAAATTCATACACTTGATCAAACATTGTCCATATTCAACATACACATTCTGACAATTTGTCTGAGATTTTTGAGCAGTTTCTATGCATAGTACATAGATTTAGAGTTATTGCACTCCTGGTAGCACCAATCAAATTAGGATATCCATGGCAACAGGAATAGATAAAAGTAATGAGACATCTGCAGTGTGATAATTTACATATATTGTCTTGTGTTGTTCAGTAGTGTTCTAGAGATTCTTGGATGAATATGAAAACGATGAGGTTACTGAGAATTTTAAGTGTGTGATGCCTTTTAGGATTTTATATTTCTATTGCCAAAGATTGATCCATTTGATATTGTCAGATCAGTTGTTCAATCGTAGTACAATTTCAAGTAAGCCAGTTTCCTAGAGTACTTCTTAGACTCCTTAGTGCTAATGAGTTTTTCAGTGTTTTTGTTTATCGTGCTTTTGGTTTCCACTGATGGTAGATTGATAGGGGCTCCTCCAAAAGACTGGTGCCAGGTGACTTTCCTGTTGCGTTCTGTGTCATGTTCATAAGTTCCAGCCCTGGAAAATATTGAATGCAAACATAATGATATGCAAATTTTTAACTTAAATAATCTTGTATTGAGTTTTTCTGTTATCTTGAACCAATTAAGGATTGTCTTCAAAACAGACATTTTGAACTTGGAGAAAATTACTCATATTCTTTTAGGATGTCAACATGTTTTGATATGATATTCATCAAACCATGTCAGTCAGATACATATATGTATATAAATTAAGTTTGTATTTCAATTTGTTTATAACACTGGAAAGTAATATGGAACATTGACTTACCCTGGTAACACCTGCTCTAAATCCCTCTTGAAGACTGGGAATCTCTTATCAGCAGCATTAAATGGTTTATAAGCAGGATCAAACACCAAAGGCTTGGTACATTTTGTTTGGTAAGTATCAGGCGAGGGGGTAATCTCTTGGAACTCCTTTCTAAACCTTGGTCCTGTTCTAGCACCCAGTGTGTAGCCTTTGTTTGTGGTCACAAAATGGTCAATTTCCCATTTGAAATTGCTCACCTGAAAAATTAATGAAACATTTACCCATTTGCATTCATTTACATGTATTTAGCTTAACCCTTGATTAATTTGATAATTCTTCATTTAGGCTAGAATAGATTCATTTGATGATACACACCTCTTCGTTTTCGTAACACCCTGGACCTCTGTGTGGTGCACCTTTAAGTGGAATAAGCTCATTTCCAAACCTATTTGGAGGCATCTGGATGGGGTACATCTCACGGTCCAATGTGGTGCCAAAGGCAACATTTGTTTTGTTGTCAACTGTAAAGAAACAAATCAAAATGAAAATATAAAACAACAGGCATGAGAATTTTCATCACATGTCAAAGAATAAATGAGTATATTCATTGAGCCTAGACACCAAGAAGAGGTAGCAGAGGTCCGTACATTATCAATCAGCACTTCAGTGCAGGTAGGCTTAGGTTAGCCTAGACCATGGACGTATATCATCGTTGATATACGTCCATGCCTAGACCACGGACTTCAGGTCCGTGGTTAGACTGTAACCGATAGTGATCGTTTGAATATACTGTTTGCTATCTTACCTTCCATAATGTTGTTTAATGATCTGCAAAATGTTGTCGTGGTGGTCAGAAATCCGTCTGCTCAATTCAGTTTTTCAAAAGTAAATGCTTATCGAAGTAAAGCAGGTGTTTGTGTTTGTTGCCAAGGCAGTTGCTAGGTAAACCAAAGACCAATTGTTGGCTCTAATATTGGGTTTATGTCGTAATTTGATCACTCGTGTGCTTATTTCTCAAATTATGCAATGTTTTACTCCCAGCTAGACCATATAAACAGTCTGATATCATAAATTATATAATTATCTCCATAACTTATGTGATCAGATGTATAGTTTATGCTGTTGAAAATCTGGACAAATTACTTCCGGGTTTACACTGTTTCGTGCAGTACTTTCAAAGTCTTGCACAACTACAAATTACCGGGAATTAATATATGCTAAATCCATTTCTTATTTAAATGTAAACTAAAAGATGTTCGGTCAAGTAACATGGATAATATAAAAACACTGTCAACATTTTGAAAATGTGAATATCATGGAACATAAATTAATGTTCCTATTTATATCAACTTTATCGAGAGAGATAAAATCACGTAGGGGACAGCGGGCAAGGGCCATGGGGCAAGACGGACCACCAAGTTTATTTTATTGTTTTAAAGTATATATCGCCTGATATTATTCTGAGCATGGGATCATCATGGCACCCACCCAACTCGCTGTTCATTTTGTTTCATTTAGGCGCCAGATTCAATTGGCGGCACTTTCCTCAAAAAGTGGCCCTTGCCCCACTTCTGTAAGACTTTGGTAAAACCTTCAAGTCAAAAAAGAAGGGTTCTGATAGAACGGGCCTTGATGCCTCACGGGGCCCTTGCCTCTTGACCACATGAAATCAGTTTTTCAAAGGGGGCATATTAGCAATTCAAAAAATCATTTCAAATTTCAATTAATACACCCAATAAAATCTTGCAGGAACCCTATAGATAGTAATATACTTTTGCATATTTTGTCTTGAAATTTAAGAATTATTTAGTTCATTCAATGTGAATTTTGTTCTGAAAGTTTGAATGATAATCTGTTCATTGTGTCAAAAACTACAGTCCTTTACAAAACATGCTCAAAGTGGGCACTTCTCCTCTCTATGCACAAACGAATCCTGCGAACAAAGTTGTTAATGACCCTTACCTATACACATTAATGTGGATGGTAAATATTGGGGTAGTTATTGCCCTCTTAAGATTGTTAAGGGCCTGTCAGTATACACATTGGCTTTGAGAAATCCTCAAAGATAAAAATTTGGGGGCGAATGAGCTGCCCATATGGTTTGCATTCTGCAACTGATGAGCTGACCACCAAAGCATTGCCTAAACCATTTCAGCATATCATTTGCAGTGTTAGGGTGGTATTGGCTTGTTGAAACCACTGCTTAATTATCTCCTTAGATGTCCCTTCTGGTGCTTAGTGACCTCCAAAACTTGGTGAGAACTTACTGGTCCTTGTACATGGTGATAGCAAGTCCCCAGTCACATTCGAACCAAAGGGGACTTATGATTCCATGTTTCATCGTTGCCACCCAGGGAGTGCATTGTTCAGAATGCAATGGATGCTGTAACACTTCATCAGGAGGATGTAAGCCCCAGTAGCAACTGTTCTTGGAACAAACTTGTCCATTCAGAAAGACATGTGTGTAGGAGGATCATCAACAGCTTTATTCGCCGGATTGAATTGTGCATAGAGATGAGATTTGCACATTTGGGGCATGTTTTGTAAGGAGCTGTAGTTTTTGACTCAATTGGTAGACTATTATCAAACTTTCACAACAAAATTCCCATTGAATGAACTAAATAATTCTGAAATTTCAAGGCAAAATATGCAAAATTGACCGAGTTATTCAACTTTCTTACGGTCCTGTTTTTTTTGGACACCCTGTAGATAGATACTGTAATTGGTTAAGCCATTTCATTTTATTTTTTCTGTATAAGTTATTCAACAGCCCAAAAGTGGGATACAAAATAAAGCTCATAATAATATATAGAAATCCTGGAAGAAATGGATCAATTGAAATAGAGAGGGGGGGGGGAGATCGTTTTAAAATTATAATGTATAGACTGAAATTATGTGTAATATATTGACATCAAGGAAATAATTACAGAAGTCTATTTGAACCACTGGAATGCTTTCTTTGACTCAGTCATAATGATTGCAACTTGAAAAAGTCGGGTGACATTCAACATAGGATTAATCATATGTAAATTATTGGCCATTTTTTTCAGAATATCCCGTATTTCTAAAGCGTTGGTTGGGCAATTCGATATAAAAATAGCTTTCCTCTAAATTTTGAGAGTACGCCATGGCGTTTTATGCGTATATGACGCTACGCCATTTGAGTATCGCCGAGAATAGGTTTATGCGTGGTGACTTGTAAAATGGTTGCGATACATTTGTTTCGGTTTATATCGCAACCCAATAAGGTGTATATTAAATATTTTTTGTATTTTCATGATTCTTATCAACAGTAATTACTGAAAGAAATTGTTCTAATATTTAAATAACAAAATGATTGAGTTTTGCAGTATTTCAATTTATTATGTAAATCTTATTTTAAGCAACTTATAAATGTTCTTTTAATTGTGAAAACATAAACTGCAACAATATAACAAAGAACAATATAACAAATAAATTATCATGTACATGTAATACAGGTATTTTACGGGTAAAACAATGATTAAATTGAATATTATATTTAGTTTATAAAACCCGAACACCATTACAAAGTATACAAACAATTGACAACATTTTATCATCGTGGCATCATAGAATTTAACAATAGAGTAATTAAATTATTATGTAATACAGGTATAGGTTAATTATGAATTTACTTTTTATTTAAATGTCATAGAAACCATGTTATAATAAAAACATCGTTATATCATTACACTCCAAGAATTAATAGTTAAACCATTAGGGGCTAGGGTAGATAAGTGATCCAAAATGCTGCCCTAGTAAGCTCTAGGTATAAGGCATTGAATGTAAAAAATGTAGACTTATGTGGATTAAACAGGGACCAACAAGGGATCGAAAACATTAGAAATATTGCGCCCTATAGCTTTTCTATATTTTTCAAAATGGTTTATAATGGAAAGTTGTAACATGGCAAAACATTGATCTCACATAAAAACAACTCAAAAAAGTATTTTATATAACCATTTAGCCAAATGGGTGCTCGTGCAGGTAAAATGTTTCTTGTTGAATTTCAAATTAAATTTCAATTAAAAAATCAGCAAATATTGTGTTAGATTTACAATACTAGTATTCTTATCATAAACAGTGGGCACTCATTACAGTGCACACAGCTAAACAAGTTCTCACCAGTAGCATATATTTGTTTTTCTGTGTACACTTAATGATGCCTCAACTCTGAAGCATTTTGAGCAGAATAACGCAAATGCGAGTATGTAGTTACTAGTTTCACCACCAGGTGGCTCGTTCGGGTCAGATAGCATGGCGGATATAGCAGAAAGTTCCCTTTATCTTAAATTACATCTGTTTTAGTGGTTCAATTTCCATAAAGCCCTTATGTATCGAATAGTTATGCAAATTAAAGTATGTCAAGTAAGGGAAAATGTTATATGTCCAATACAAGAAAAGATATTTCATTTTTTTGTGATTTTGTAACATGGGGTCTATGGGGAATCAACCCGAACTAGAAGTCACATTTTCAAAAAAGATTACATTTTCAAAGTTGATAAACAATTTTCGAAACCATATTTTTAGATGTATTTTTACATGTAGATTTCAAATAAGACATCACTTTGACTGAATTTTGAATATTTAATGACGTAAATCAAGATCATTTCTACTCGCATCTAGTCTATTCACATTTACACCCTGGACGAAGTGATAAGGTCAAAACAAGTGGCTCTGATTTAGGAAAAAACGATCTTCCTAAAAATAAACATGGCAGAGCAGGGGTGAGTTTATTTCTTTAAATTATACCCTTTCTTGGCCACCTGACATGTTCAAACTCGGTACATTGATCCAAGACATATCCACCTCCCTATATATAATATTGTAACGATTAATACTAAGAAACGAAATGAATACAAATTGAAATAATATATTTTTGTAAATAACCGCAATATTTTTTTTTGATTATTTTCGAAAAAATGGTAGATACTCTGTTTCAAATGCATTGATATTTGGCAATATGATAGTTTATGAACCAGGGAATGTCATATCACCATTATTTTTCTAATACAAGAAGTAATTTACGTCCCTGAGGGAGATTAGATTTATTTTCTGGAAAAAACGCGGCTCTGATTCCCACAGAATATATGGAAAATACGTGGAATGGATGTCTAATTAATCACTTGTTTACTTTCAGGTGTGTAGGCTTCCAATGCTACCATTGTGACGGGAAAACAAAACAATTTAATGCAATAATACAACACTTGATTTTAAAACATCCTGAAAATGAAATGAAAATCAGAAAAATTATTAATGTGAATGGAACGATTAAATTGATAACAAAAAAATTCTCAGATGTGATTCCCAGTGAGATCGAAGCCAGTGGCAAAAAAATAGTGATTCAGGATCAGTCACTCCATGACAATATCAATAGCCCAGTACTTGGACAGTGATGTTCCCCATGTATCTAAATGCTCAAAATTAGATATTGACAGTAACAATGAAATGAAATGTCGTACAACAATGGATAATAACATTGAAAAAGAAAATGAAATTGAAAATAAAATTGAAAATGAAACCACCAATGAAATCACCAATGAAATGAATGATATAATAAATTCGTAAAGGCTAGAGTAACGACAATTGTCGGTACTCTAGACTCTGAGGTGGTGGCACGCTAGAGGACCGACAAATAAATTGTCGGTACGGGAGATATGCTGTGTTTACACGCTAGAGGACCGACAAATATTGATTTTCGAATTTTCTGGCGCATGCGCAATGCGTGGGGGGATATTTCAGATATCATACGGATATTTTGGGAACAAGTGCAAAACCCGGGGAGGGCATTACCAAACCCAGTCAAAAATGGTAGCCCGGGAACAGGGAATGGTAGAAAACGTTGAAAACCCAATATAAAAAACATGAACAAGTAAGACGTTAGAAAGCTATTAATGCAGAGTAAACGGCTATTCATATTCTAAACAGACAGGATATTACTCCTGAGCCGATCAGGCGTAGAAACGGGCGTTTGCTACCCATTAGATAGAAGAAAATAGCTAGAATGTTTTTTATTTGAAGCTTATGGTATGAGGTTCCATATCCATCCGCCAAAAGGTATGACCCCTATATAGTCCATTTAAAAACCAGTGGTATCGTTCTAAATAACCCATAGTTGGCTTCTAGGGTACCTAGTATGCGACTATTTGGTATCAAAATAAAGAGGAGTTCAACTTTCATTTGAATTACGAAAATAGCGATGTAGGTCAAAATAGTTCCGAACGTGAGCATGTTTACTACGCGTTTGCCCGTCATATCAGAATTGAGGAAGTGGTAGCAAACGCGAGTTACAATAAACGGACGCTGATATCTCAAAAAGTAACCTGACTCCCTATAATTTGATGTAGGTCAATCGAACCCCTATATGGACAGGTGCATTTTGATATATAACACTATGGGGGGGGGTAAGCGTTTCATAGTTGGTTACGAACGCCATATGTGCAAAGTATTGTTATGAATTTTCGAATTTGGTGTTGGATTACGGTACTCATACCTTATAGCACAATTTTTGATGGAAGTTGCATTTGGCTCCCTTAGTTAATGGCCACGATTCCATCTCGCATGAGAGAGCTACCAAACGCAAAGTAAACAGTGATATATTCCAAATGAGATATTTCTCCTGTGCCATGGCGTAGTAAGGGTAGAGAGCGACGGGGGCGAAAGCATCCCCTCCCCTTACTGTATATATCGACCCATTAGATAGAACAAGAAAAGAGCTTTAAAACGTTTTTTAATTGAAGCTTGTAGGACAATTTTGATGGAAGTTGAATCAATTTTTGTCGAAATAAATTATGGCTCGATACAAGTTAATGCCTGTGTGATTCCATACTGCAAAAGAAGCACTATGCCCCCCCCTCAAAAGAAAAAAGCAGGTCCTGCCGGGATTCGAACTCGGGACCGAGTGTGTTCGAGTCGTGCTCGCTAACCACGAGGCTACCAGTGATGAGGTTGTTTCTAAAAGTAAAAGTAGTCGATTTATTTATGAAATTGTCGGCTCTCTAGCAAAAACACGTAGTAGCCACTTGCGTACCGACAATTGTCGGTTCTCTATCTGGCACTACTAGGTGACGATAGAGTGCCGACAAGTGTCGGTACCCTAGCAAATACCCCTGGACAGTCTCCAGTACCGACAATTGTCGGTCCTGGAGCCACTCCGTAATAAACGTCCGTAATAAATTTGAAATCTTGTCACAGCAATGAAGCACACAGTTCCACAGATGGCAATGCAACGATACAGATGCTAGATGAAAATATTGAAGATCTAATAAATGAGTTCACCAGTGTGTTACCTGATGTCATTCAACGACTTGCCGACGATGGAATTATACGCACAATACTTAATTTTTTCAATCTGGTTAAGAATAACTCAGCTTCTCAGGCTAAACAAAAGATACAGTAAGGCAAATGATTTGTTCTATAGTAAATGTCCAAGACGATTTACTAAAATAGTGGACATAAACATAATTCCCATTCATGTGCAATGGCAGTGTAAATAAAGGGGTTGTTTTGACATCCAGATCTTTGGACTTTGCGTTGACAACGGGCATCGTACGTCTAACAAGCTGCATGTATCTTAGACTCTTATTTCATCCAAAGGCCACTTCCACATGACTTGATGTAATATAAAGAGATTTTCGACGCTTCATAACGGCGATTGTCATAGGACATGACTGGAAAACGTTAAATTAATGAAACTAAATCAGGTATAGAAAGCCGCGTTTTATCACAAATCACCATCGCAAATCAATGACCGCTTATTTTCCTCAAATGTTCGTCGTCGGGAGTAAAACAATAGGCATCACATCAAATTAAAATAACTGTCGATGCTGTAAATGCACATATGAAAAGAAACATACAATCTCGGTGTGCATGAACGTTTATATGCATCATTGATCATCAATGAAAGATATTTTGACAATATAAAATCGTAATTTTTAGCGGGAGATATAATTCTCAACTTTAATTTACACTCCAGCCACTAATGCGCGTTCCATTCAATTTAAAACACACGAACTGAGTAGTTTAAGATGTACCACTTGAACATAATACAAAATTGTATATGATTCTCCTCTTTGTCCACAAGAATTTAACCTTACAAAAATTGGGGTACAAAAATTATTAATTTTTAGGAAGATCGTTTTTTCCTAAATCAGAGCCACTTGTTTTAACCTTATCACTTCGTCCAGGGTGATTTATAAATGCTTTTTCTCCAGTGTGATCTGGTATCTCAACTGTACCCTTTCCTGCCCATCACTGACCTTTATTAGCAGGGGAAAACATTTTTTCCAAGGGGATGGGCATTTATTAGGAGGGAATAGCTGCCAGTGGGCGTTTATTTCGAGGAATATTATGGATCTTAAAATTGACACATGACCTTCATACTTATGCAATGGTATCATGAACCTGAGCATTAGTTGACTTGTGACCCTTCGTCATATTTTTGCTACATCATATCAAGATTAGCCTACTTCTCTTCTGTCACTTCTGTTTTTTCCCGGGTCGTTTTTAGTATTAGCTAATTCAATCCTTTTCTCGAATGTCTTCACCCACTGGACGTTTATTGAGAAGTCCTTTATAAAGAGGGATTTTTTTTATACACCCCACTTTCGAATAAACGCCCATTGGTCTATTTGTGAGAAATTCAGGTAAGCTTCAATGGTTGTACTCTGGGGCCTTTTGACATTACAAAAATACCTAGGATTGAAATTTTACCGAGGTGAAACTGAATGACATTATTATCAGTTTATCGAGTAATTTTTTTATCGAAAAAGGGAACAAACTTCAAAAGAAATTTGAGGCAGAAATTCTGGCTGAGAAAACTACTTCATTTGTTTCAATATAGGTATAAGCCTTGGCAATTTGTATTGTATCTTTATGTTACAATAACAACTGTACAGGGCAATCTTAATATCAACACAATCATGTGGCATGAACATGATTTTCAGAGTACCATTTATCTAGGTGTATACAAATAATGCACACTCATCACAGATTTACATTTGTTTGCACATATTGAACTCAAATGCTGCACATGAACACAAGTCCCATAATTTAAAATGGCTGAAAATTTTCTGAAGAAAGCCAAAGGGATCCATTATGGCTACGGGAAGGAGAATTACAAGGAAGGAGTACCATTACTGCCAGCATTTCATCCGGATGTGTTCACAGAATCTTTAGCAAATTTTAAGATGTTTCCTGATGATATCTACTTTACTGGCTACATGAGAACAGGTGAGTGAACATGAGAACAAATGAGTGTACATGAGAACAGATGAGTGTACATGAGAACAAATGAGTGTAAATGAGAACAAATGAGTGTACATGAGAACAAATGAGTGTACATGAGAACAGATAAGTGTATATGAGAACAAATGAGTGTAGATGAGAACAAATGAGTGTAGGCTATATGAGAACAAATCAGTGTATATGAGAACAGATGAGTGTACATGAGAACAGATGAGTGTACAAGACAACAGGTGGGTGAACAACAGGTGAGTATGCAAGTGAACAGATGAGTGTACACGAGATCAGGTAATCGTACAAGACAACAGGTGGGTGAACACTAGAACAGGTGAGTATGCAAGAGAACAGGAGATTGTGCGTGATAACAGGTGAGTGTTAAGAGAACAGCTGAGTGTAAATGAGAATGGGTGTTGGAGAAGAGCTGAGTGTGCATGAGAACAAATGAGTGAACATGAGAACAGGTGAGTGTACATAAGAACAAGTGAGTTTATACGAGGAAAGGTGAGTGTAAATAAGAACAGCTGAGTGTAAATGAGAATGGGTGTTTATGAGAAGAGCTGAGTGTATATGAGAACAAATGAGTGAACATGAGAGCAGCCAAGTGTACATGAGAAAAGTCAAGTGTACTAAGAACATGTGAGTATTTATGAGAATAACTGAGTGTATATAAAGTTATAAACAGGTATATGTTTATGGGAACAGCTGAGTGTACTTCAGAACATGTGACTTTACATGTTAATTCCAGCTAAATGTGCCACAAATTATTTGTATTATCATAGGTACAGGAGTTTATTATACAGTGGGTGGAATCATCCATGCTTTAGACTTTTAAGAATAGGACTGGCAAGGAATGAAATTCTTCCAATTTCTGAAGGCCTCTGAAATCCATCCTGTTCCAATTCAATTCAATGCCACATCGGTGTCAAGAATGCCAACCCAAAGTAGGAGGGACAATTGTATATAATCTTAGTGAATACCACTCTATTACATTTCCTTCCCTGAGTCCAATGTATCATTAACACGGTGTATAACCCAAACGCTCCGACATGCACGACGGAGCGTTTCATTACTGAAATTAAACAAAGAAACGCTCCGGAGTAGGAAAACTGGCTGGCGGGAATGATGAGCCGTCTGACGATTTCCCCAATAATGGGAATAAGAGGTATGAGTTACATATTTCGAGTATACCATTCGATGGGTGTGATATTCATGTTGTACTTGGATGGCTGTTGACGTTTGAAGCAATTAGGAAGAGCTGTACGAAGCAGTATAGTTATGAAAATTCAAAAACGTATTTGTCATTCTACCGGTCAAAACCCCTTTTTATCGATACATGTGATTAGTTGAGCCAAGATTAGAGCACCAACGTATATTTTAGTCAAATTCCAATGCTTCAACGCACCATACATTATCGTAATAGTGATTTGATGACCGAAAATCCAGTCTTAAAAATGATGACATTCTCATATTCAAGAAACGCTCCGATCTGGTTAACACAGTGAACTGGAAACGCTCCGGTAGTGTAGATCAGTTTAGGAAATATATAGCTTGCCTTTCCTTTTCAGGAAGAGAAAGAAAAGATTTATTATACCCCTTGGCATCAAAAGAAGAAAGATTAATTCACATATAAAGTTTCTTTTTTCTATAGTTTTATGATTTAGCACACATGTAGGCATGACATCATATAATGTAGGCTTAGATCAGCTAGTTGCACGTTTAGCACCACCAGGTTCAGATGTTTCAATTTGCCTGACAAGTACAACACGTTTTTGAGAGATAGATTCGATTCGGAACTCTTCTTTAATAATCTGAAAATGATATCAAAACAAAATGGTAAGAGCGTTTCTAAAATTGTGTGCTAAATCGACGGAGCGTTTCGAGGAAAACAAGCAATTTCTCGAGAACAAGTAATGGATTTGGACTGGGATTTTAGAAAATGAGAATATACGAGTTTGTGATCTACTACTTTAACAGAAAGATTAACGTTTTCATAGAAATACTAGTTTAATTCATAATTTGTGGTCAAATCGTCATCTTCAGATTCGTTCGACCTACACTACGGAGCTTTGATCAAGCAAATACTGAACAGTTTACCACCAGAAGTTGAATAAATAAGATCTTTGCCCACGGTATTGTTCATCGAATGGTACATAATATTTCACCATAACATATGATATGTAAGAGAAACGAGAGAAACAATACTTACGGTCATAGTGGAATCTTCATTAGCCGCCATTTTATTTCGCTCCGGAGCGTTTCCGCGTTAATGAAACGCTCCGTCGTGCATGTCGGAGCGTTTGGGTTATACACCGTGATTAACAATAGAAAAATACAGGGTCTGGAAAAATCACAATAGTGCAATATGTACAGAGAAACTTGCAATTTGCAGGCACATACATTGGCTTAGAGGTGCTCCAACTGATACTGAATGATGTGGATACTGAAACTCTAAGGAACACACCAATCTATGACAGAATATACCACATCCTTGTTAGCAGAGATTGTAAGTGACCAAAGAACCTCTTCCCCTAGCCGTAAGGTGGCCCCAAACTTTATTTTCCCTTTTTGGTTTTATTTTAAATGGGTCTACTTGGACCTCAATTTAACAAACTGACCTAGCTATTCTTGAGAAAATTTAGTCACTCGACACATAGCATTTCATTGTAAATGAGAATGGAACTTTCAAGGCTGAAAGGTTTTTGTGATCTTTTAGATTTCATACCTGGCAAACTTAAAGGTTTTGAACATGGGGAATCACCGCTTCCATGGCTGAGTGAGCAAAAATCCCCTCGACTTCTAAAAACTCATGGTCTTTATGAATTCGCCCCAAAGGATGCAAAAACCGGAAAGTGCAAGGTACTGTGAGTGTAACATGTAAAGTGAAATTACTATTTTGCTCATCAATTCAAAGGCACAAACCATTACATGACATAACATAGCTTTAATAAGTATTCAATTATTTTTAGGTCATTGTAGCAACTAGAAATCCAAAGTCAACATACCTGAGTTGGTTCAAATTGATGCAAACATTAACCCCGGTCTTCCCCGATGGTATTACTTGGGAAGATTATTTTGCTGCAGTGATATCAGGAGAGAATAAACACTGTAAGTAAATATAATGAGAAAATACCTTTACATATCATATCGTATGTATGTACCACTGTATGAAAAGTTTGACACAGCACATATTGATAACATTGGGTAGAACTATAAATATGCAAAAGTGGTTTAAACTTTATAACTACATTTAAAGTCAAAAAAACATAAGGAACTATAAACATTGTTCTTAATTTGAGTAGAACACTCTGTACATGTAAATGTAGTTTCATATATCTTCTACGTGTAGTGGTACTTGGTACATGGTTTGACTTCTATCTGGATTGGTGGAAACATAGAGATGATATGTCCATTTATTTTCTCAACTATGAAGCTCTTTTCAAGGTAATAATTATTAATCAACTTTGTCCATTGTATAGAAGTCTCCACTTACTCCCTCTAAACTGCATTATGAAAACTTTCTTACCATCCCAAGATCAAAGTTGTCTATTCTTAAAAGGTTGGCTACAAATCCACGGACTGTGGAAAGTAAGACTGATATTCTTATCATTCTATTACTCTGTTTTTGTTATTGGTTTTATTGATATGGTCTGAAAACACTCATGGTCAAATATTCTGTTTTTGCACTAATTTTCAGAAAATATATGATTGGGATAAAAAGGATTGCATGTTCAATATCTTTTGATATTTTGTAGGATGGTAGAAATGGTAGAAAGGTTATCAAAGAGTTGACAGAATTTTTGGGTAAAACATTAACAGAAGAAAAGATAACAGAGATACTAAAATACATTGACTTTGATCAATGTAAACAGAACCCATCATTTAGCAAGGCCCTCAAGAATATGCCAACGACATCAGAAAAGACCTCACATATGAGAAAGGGTATCTATAATTTCACATGTCTGTACTGGGAATACTAAAATTAAAGCAGATTCAGATCTAGTGAATCTTTCATAACTTTGGTTGCATTTAATATTTTGCCCTTATATTTTTCCAAAGAACATACTTTAATCAAGTAATGCCAAAGATTTTAATATTTATTTATTATTTGGGAGAATTTACACATTCTGCTCTTGATAGGATTTCATGGATGTTATGGAAGATTATATATTTTAAATGGTAAAAGATTGGTTTGTAGGTCAATTCAAAGACAGCAGATTTTTTGGAAGGGGGGTACAATATAATACATATTGTTTTATACATGTACATTAACAAGGTATCTATAAAGTCTCTTTACAATGTATATATCTGTAATATAAAACCAAAACTCATCATATACAACTCTTGAGAACAGTACAACTCCTGGCTTTGTATAAAAAACCTCCTACCTCGCACCCACCTACCCACGTACGTGGGACATGATACAGTCTTTGAAGGGTTCAATTTTAAAGGTTATTAATTATTATTTAAGTTATCAAATCTTAGTTTATGTTGAATTATAGATTAATCAATGCACCCAAATGCCTTTATTGTCTTTTTAGCCATAAAATAAAGCCAGAATTGCAAAAATGTTAAAGGAATTCTGGGAGAGACAAGTGACAAAATATTGCTTCTTGGACGAGATCAAACGACTTTGACATATTCCGTGTGTGAATATTTCAATTATTCAGATTTTGCCGTGGATCCGATTTTAAATGCTTCTAAATGATCTTCTAATGCTTACTTTGATTTATATTTGTAATGTTTTGACTTACCCGCTTCATAAAAGAATATCATCACCATTTACTCTATATTAAGCACAAACTGAGAATGAATAATAATCTTCAAAAATTGCACCCTTCAAAGACTGTGTAAGACCCACGTACGTGAGTATGCGGTTTTGTTTTTTATACAAAAATCATTTCGAGAAATCAAAAGCAGACATAGAACAAAATAGCTTAAATCATTTTATTATGTCACCACCAAAAGTGGTGACATATTGTTATGGTCTCCGTTTTTTTTATGTCACCACCAAAAGTGGTGACATATTGTTATGGTCTCCGTTTTTTTGCGACGGCGGTTGGCGTCCGGCGGTTGGCGTCCGGCGGTTGGAGGTTGGCGTCCGGCGTCTGTAACAATTTCTTACAACTTCCTATAACTTAACAAATACTGTTTAGACTGACTTCAATTTTTTCTAAATCATCTACATGTTCTCAGAAGTTGACTTTAGATTTGACATTTGACCTTCAATGACCTTCTCAAGGTCAAAAAGGTCTTTTTTCAATTTGCTTCACATTGACTAAATTTTTTTTCAAAATCATCTACATGTTCTCAGAAATTCAAATCTGACTTTAGATTTGACTTTAAATTTGACATTTCACCTTCAAATTTGACTTTAGATTTGACATTTGACCTTCAATGACCTTCTCAAGGTCAAAAAGGTCTGTTTTCAACTTGCTTCAAATTGACTAAATTTTTTTTTCAAAATCATCTACTTGTTCTCAGAAATTCAAATCTGACTTAAGATTTGACTTAAGATTTGACATTTGACCTTCAATGACCTTCTCAAGGTCAAAAAAGGTCAAAAAGGTCTGTTTTCAACTTGCTTCAAATTGACTCAAAATTTTTTTCAAAATCATCTACGTGTTCTCAGGAATTCAAATGTGACTTTAGATTTGACTTAGGATTTGACATTTGACCTTCAATGACCTTCTCAAAGTCAAAAAAGGTCAAAAAGGTCTTTTTTCAACTTGCTTCAAATTGACTAAATTTTTTTTTCAAAATCATCTACATGTTCTCAGAAGTTCAAATTTGACTTTACATTTGACCTTCAATGACCTTCTCAATGTCAAAAAAAGTCAAAGAGGTATTTTTTCAACTTGCTTCAAATTGACGAATTTTTTTTCAAAATCTGACTTTAGATTTGACATTTGACCTTCAATGACCTTCTCAATGTCAAAAAAGGTCAAAAAGGTATTTTTTCATCTTGCTTCAAATTGACTAAATTTTTATTCTCAAAATCATCTACATGTTCTCAGAAATTCAAATATGACTTTAGATTTGACTTTAGATTTGACATTTGACCTTCAATGACCTTCTCAAGGTCAAAAAAGGTCAAAAAGGTCTTTTTTCAACTTGCTTCAAATTGACTTAATTTTTTTTTCAAAATCATCTACATGTTCTCAGAAGTTCAAATTTGACTTTACATTTGACCTTCAATGACCTTCTCAATGTCAAAAAAAGTCAAAGAGGTATTTTTTCAACTTGCTTCAAATTGACGAATTTTTTTTCAAAATCATCTACATGTTCTAAGAAGTTCAAATCAAACCTTCTTAACACTTAAGGTCAAAAGGTATTTTCCAACTTGCTTTAGATTGACCAAATTGTTTTAGGTGGTGACATTTTGTCATGTTAATGCCTTGTTAACATTTATGCAATTCCGGCTTTATTTATGACTTGACAGATGACAGATCCATTAATAAAGGCATATGGGTGCATCAATTCATCTATAATTCATCATAAACTAAGATTTAATAACTTCTTTAAAATTGAACCCTTCAAAGACTGTATCATGTCCCACGTACGTGGGTACGTGGGTAGGTGGGTACGAGGTAGGAGGTTTTTTATACAAAGCCACAACTCCTGGATAGTGTATACAATTCTTTGACTTGATATACAACTGCTCAATTTAGGGTGGGATAATAATATTCTCAATTTAGGGTGGGATAATGATACTCTCATAAGTATATGATATATTCATGAGTGACCGAAGGAATGGGTATAACAAGATATAACCTCATATTACACCATCCCAAAAGAATCTGTTATCTTTGGGTCAAGCGAAATCTTGTCAACAACTATTGTACTTGATTCTGCTTTATAACATAAAAACGTTATCACCATTAATTTCAACTATTGGTTAGATGCTCCTTCAGATTTTTTAAAAGTCAAGAGACCAATTCTAGTTCTCTGCATGTATATTAAGATGACTGAGTATTATAATTGTATTTCAGGCAAGATTGATGACTGGAAGAATTACTTCACTGTGGCCCAGAGTGAACAATTTGATCAACTTTATAAAGAGAAAATGGACGGATCAGGATTTCCAGAACCAGTGTATGAGTAGCATAGTCATGAGTCAATATCAAGACCAATACTAGTGCAGTTGATATGAAATTAGAGACACAATTTTAAATTGATATACTAATAATATTGACAAAATTCTGTCAAAAAAACATTAAAATCTCTCACCAGATTTACACAGAGTACAATCAGTTCAGGCATGTATTGGCACTTTTGACCAGTCTTAAATTCAAATCACCATCTCTTGTTAGTATATAGATTATGTCTAAACTAAACAAAATTATCTAACAACATTTTGTGAAATTCATATCCACTGTATTTCATAGAAACATATTTTTAGATAAAATATAACTTTACCTAAACAATACATGCTTTAGTTTTGCCTTCAGTTTTACTCAGAGGCCATTGGGTTTAAAGCACAATAAATAATCCCAAGAAATATGCACATCAATACTCATTTGAATGATTTTATAAATGGGTGATCTATCTACAAGTTATTGTCCCATATTATATTATCACACCCGATCAAGCCTTCAAACTTTAAAGGAACATTCCTGGCCAAACCTTTTCTATCCTGATGTGATAGCTATAATCATTATATACTTTCCATATTTAGCAAAACATGGGGAAATGTTTTAATATAGTCAATATTGATAATTTAAAAATGTAGTGCTCATTATCCCATCAAACGAAGTTCGGAGGGATATAGGGAACGCCTCCATCCGTCCATAAGTCCGTCCGTCCGGGCAATTACTCAAATACCGTTGGCCCGATTTTGTTCATATTTTGTACACATATACCCTATGGGGGTAGAAGTTCTGCTCGAAAGCCGATTTTCAAAATGGCCGCTCATTTAAAAATAGCGGCCATTTTAGTGCGGATTTTACAGTAATTTAGGTGCAATATGTAAAACTGTAATAGCATTTATGTTTTAAATGTAAAAAAATTATATAGGACATTGATAAAGCTAGAAATGTAAATATTAAAGAAGCACATGGCAGCCATCTTGAAAAAAGGCGGCCTTTACTCGTTATTTTACGATTTTTGCTGTAACTCAAGAAGTAGTGAAGCGATTTTGTTCATATTTGGTATGTGAATACTATAAGCATGGCTCACTGTCTAATGACACATTTGGTAGGAGATGGCCATTTTGAAAAATGGCCACCGCTCACTGGTATTTGAGTTATCAAAGATTATGTTTTTTAACGAAAAATTGCCGTCATTTTGAAATAAAGCGGCCATCTTGAAAATTCTTTGTCGAACATAGCAACTGTGTCCCTAGGCATCATCATATAAAATTTGAAACAAATCCGTTCACTGGTATATGAGTTATCAAAGATTACGTTTTTTACAAAAATTGGCCGCCATCTTGAAATTCAGCCGCTATCTTGAAAATTATTTCTTGAACAGAGCTACTGTGTCCCTAGGCATAATCATATAAAATTTGAACCAAATCCGTGCGAAAAATGGCCGCCATAAGCCCTAGCCCGCCATTTTGAAATTAAGCGGCCATCTTGAAAATCTCTTTTAGTGCGAAACTCCATTGTCCCTAGGCATCAGCATATAAAATTTGAACCAAATCTGTCAACTTGTATTTGAGTTATCAACGATTACATTTTTACGAAAAATGGCGGCCATTTTGAACTGAGCTGCCATATTGAAAATTCCTTCTCGAGCAGAGGTCCTACACTCATAAGGCATAAGCCTATAAAATTTGAACCAAATCCGTCAACCGGTACTGGAACTTCGTTCGGTGGGATAATTATTAAATAGAAACAATTGGTATAAACAATAATTTCTGAATAAATGTTCATTGCCATCAGCTGATTGCTCGAGATCTTTTTACAGTTTTCCTTTTTTTTGGAGATATACCTACAGCATTTCTCATCAAAAGTATAACATGATTTAGTAAGAGCTTATAGGAAAATAAGTACATGTAATAGGAAAAATGAAACTTTCAAAACATAACACATACAAACATATAATCTTTTCTGATATTCAGGTCATCTTTGCTTTGCTAACAATCTTCCTAGAAAGGTTCTGAATCTGATAGAAGGCTGGTATTTCTCATGATGAGTTCAGTCAAATGCCAAGCATAAATTAACTATTTTCACATAGCTACAGGCTTTCTATATCACTTTCTGGACAATTAGGCTATATGATTGTGTATTATAGCTATTCTATACTTTACAACAGATGCATGGTTAATAAATGAAAGCTATAACATGGTAAAACATTGATTTCATATTAAATAAAAAAAAAATTGTATAATAATGTAGTACTATAATAATAACTAGACAACAGCAACCCCAAGGCGTGGCAAATCCCATCAAACGGTCTGGCTGTCCTCTACAAAATTGCTTCACTACGATTTTAGGAACAGCCAACTTCATAAAACAACATTTTTTCAAAATGGCCGCTCTCTAGCAGAATTGTCAATAAACAGACCATGCTTGTAAGTAGTCACATATCGAATATATACAAAATCGTTCTTTCACTTTTTGAGTTATAGTGGAAAATGTAAAATAACACACATAAAAATGGCCATGTGCTAGCCACCAAAGTGTCCTAAAACAGTGTGACATATGTTTATAAGTCATCATATATGAACAAAATCATTCTATTACATATCACCTTATAGTAAAACAAAGCATTAACATGACAAAATGTCACCACCTAGTTGCTCACAATATTATACGTTCAATCTTAAGTCAAAGGATGTGTCTGGGTATATCCCCTTTTGGTCCCTCAGTCAAATGGATGTGAAATATGGTTTTTATTACTGTCTTAGTTATATTTGATAAGTATATATTTACCTTTTCACCAGTTTTGATGCATAATTAACCCCCTGCTGAGAGTCAGAATAAGTATCTTAATAAATAAAAAAAGGTCATTATCATAGTAAAAACACCAATGGCAACATGTATGACATATAAAGAAGAAATAACTTAAGACCCATGAAGAATTAATAAGAAAATCATATTTTTGAAATATATTTAAGGATTAAATTTTTTTTCAAATTTTTGAATTTCCCGCCAGTTTAATTTGAAGGGGGAAAAACAAGATGGTTGTCATTTGATGTAAGAATTTTTTTTTTCTTTTTCAAATATACTTTATTCCAATTTAGGTTTTTACGATACATAAATACAATGATACAATTAATTACAATAATGTATAATGAGTTATGTTTTAATCATTTTCCATTTGTTTTTAAAAAATACATTTTTACGAGTACAGATTTCAAAATTTAAAGTTTTAATAGTGCCTTCAAAATTACGCTTAATACCATTATTCAGTTCTTGAATATATGTTTTATATATAACAAATGACACAATACTTATATAAAATAGTTTAAAAATTCAGTATGATTGTCATTTCCATCTTAACCAATTATCAATTTTCTGTAAGTTACTCTTAACCCTGAGATATTATAAATATGTTTCCAAATGTTTTGAGAATATGAGCATGAAAATAACAAATGTTTCAAGGTACATAATTCATTACATAAACTACAGTTGTAGGTTTCACTTTTACCAAATATATATAAATCACTAAGGCTAGGAAGAATATTGTTGATTATTTTAAAGTTGAAATTACCTATTTTCTTTTCTTTACAACTTATTTTTGTAGAAAAAAAGTTTTGCCAATTTATTTCATCATTGGCTTCATAGCAAAACTCTTGTTCCCATTTCCTTTTCATAAACCATTTTTCCGATCGTTTGTTTTTTAATATTTCATAAAAAAATTTGGATTTCTGATTATTCACAGTGATAATCACATTATTTATATTAAATTTAAAAGTATTATGAATATTTGTATACTTGACAGATTCTAAATTGAATCTTTCTTTCAGTGTGCCCGTGGCTGATAAAACTTTGTAATATTCAGATATCAAGTTTTGTTTATTTACAAGTTTTTGATATAACATATTAACATCAAGGAACCTGTTCTGAATTATCAAGTCTTTTATGTATATAATTCCACTTTTGATCCATGATTCAAAGAAAATTGGTTTATTTTTGACGGTGAATAATTTGTTTCCCCATATAACCTCTTGCAAGAGTTCACGTTGCTTCATATCTCTTATATTTTTGATGCATTCACATAAACAATGTGCTTCCAGCACTTGTTGATAAAAAAGCGGAACATTTTCAAAGGAGCACGTGGGTTATCGCAAACAATTTCAAAAGGTTATATCTTGGATTATGACTATTTTCTGACAATGAAGACAAGTTTATCTTTTCGATCAATTCATTATCTTAAAGAAAATTATGCACAGTAATAATAAAGTCAAACAACCTCGGAGATATTTAACTAGCAATTAACCCATCAACACACTTTTTGACCCCATTTTGAAGATGTTGACCCCATTTTCACCAAAAATGCAATCATTTTTTACTATGTTTAATGCATTACTATTCTTCATTTTGATGTATCAAATAGTTCTTGAAAGAAAAACTTAATTACATCAAGATAAGTGTTCCCCATGTTATTTCTCCATTGAAAAATCTCATGCTATCCATTGGTTTCAGTTCATTTTGGTCATCCAAATTGAATATCTTTAAAGTCCCTGGAGCAATCAAATTTTCCTTTTAGGAAATCGAACATGTCTCAAAGCACATTCTTATTATGCATTCAACAATATAATTATAGGTTGCATTTTTGGTGAAAATAAGGTCAACATTTTTGAAAAAGTATGTTGATTGGTCCATTGCCCCTTCAATATCACTTAGGTCTGATTAACTAAATTATCATTATATATACTTTTCTTGAAGATAATGAATGGATCTAAAAGATACACCCACGTTCATGATCAGAAAATATTCATAATTCAAGTTAGAATCGTTTGAAATTGTTTGCGATAACCTACATGCTCCTTTGATGTAAGAAATATCAAAAAAGTTGCTTCACTTTTAGTTTTCACAATGAGCAGTTTTCCGGTTTAGGTTTTTTGACTGATTCTGACTCTTCATCACCAGGGTCATGTATAGGGATTATAAATTGAAACCAAAATGTTGTGCTCAGCATGAATTTGACTGAAATATGTGTAACATCACCAACACAATTGAAGTCTCATAACTGGATGCTCAGTAACTTTGAGTGACTATAATCCCTTGATTACCCAGATAAACACCAATTCACTTATCAAGAAATACCATTCAATGTCTACACAAAGAAAGTAAGCAATGTTTTGGAGGATATGTTTCGAACTTTTTGTATAAATATTTGCCATTGATTTTTTTCCATTCTGAAAAAGTGATATGCACTGTCTTTGATGCCAATATTCTTCATCAATTGTGATACAAATTGATATTTTTGTAATCTCAGAACAAGGATAAGATATTGAAGTTTAATAATATGTGTGATTGAGTTGGTTTTTCAGACATTACAATTTTTAATATTTTCTAAGTCGATACCCAGACTCATCCTTTGAGCTTCTGAGATCTTACAGATGATTTTGAAAAAAAATTGGTCAATTTGAAGTTAATGACCTTGAGAAGGTCAAATATTTTTTGAACTTGAGAATGTCATTGAGGGTCAAATCTATAGTCAGATTTGAACTTTTGAGAACTTCTCGATGATTTGGAAAAAAATTGGTCAATTTTGAAAAATACTGAAGTCTGTTCTCAACAGTATTTGTTAAGTTATTGAAAGTTTTAAGAATTTGTTACAGACGCCAACTACCAACCGCCAATCACCAACTGCCACCCACCGAATGCCAACTGCCGTCACAAAAAAACGGAGACCATAACAATATGTCACCACATAAAAAACAAAAACAGAAATGATGTGTGAAAAATGTCGGCCATTTTCAAAAAGCCACCTAAAAGCCAAAGTGTCAAAAGAAAATGTGTGCCATGCTTATAAGTCATCAGATATTAAATATGATCAAAATCGTTCTACTACTTTTCAAGTTGTAGCAAAATTTGTAAAATAGCATGTAAAGCTCTTCCATTTTCCAAGATGGCTGTCAGGTGTTTCTTATATATCTACATTTTGACCTTTATTAATGTCTTTTCAAACTTTTTTATCTTGAAAACATATAAATATTACAGTTTGACATACATTTTGTATTATCGTAAAAAACATAAATAACACGTGTAAAAATGTTGGCCATTTTCAAAATGGCCGCCTAAAAGGCAATGTGTCAAAAGACAGTGTGCCATGCTTTTAGGTCATCACATATTAAAAAAGAACAAAATCGCTCCACTACTTTTGATGTTATAGCAAAAATCATAAAATAGTGTGTAACAACCACCATTTTCCAAGATGGCTGCCATGCGTTTCCTAAATATCTAAATTTCTACTTTTATTATTAAGTCTTATCAATTTTTTTTACCTGGAAAACGTACATGCCCTGATAATCAGTGGCAATGCCAATAAATAAAAAATAAATATTACAGTTTTACATTTGTACCTAAATTACTATAAAATTGGCACTTAAACAGTCACCATTTTGAAATGAGAGGCCATTTTGAAAATCAACTTTCGAGCAGAACTTCTACCTACATATGGTATATGTATATAAAAATATGAACAAAATCGGGCCAGCGGTATTTGAGTTATTGCATGGACAGACATATGGATGTAAGGACAGATGGACGGACGGATGGATGAACAGAGGCGTTCTCTATATACCTCCAAACTTCGTTTGATGGGATAATTAGCCAAAGGGATGTTTGCGCAAGTATACTTATTGAATATTAATTCTTTTTATGTGAAATAAACTACCATCAATTTTAACAACAATCAATTGTGACTGGGCCTTTATCTATAGTATATACATATATATATTGAGATAATAGTATTCTAATCATAACCAAAGGTATGTATCTTTCATATGATTGCTCAAGATGGTTTTTTGATTGAAGTATTTGTCACAGAGCTCACATCACAAGTTTTCACCAGCGTGTGTTTTTCTGTGTATTCTCAATGAAGCCTTTACTCTGAAGCATTTTGAGCAGAATTCACATTTAAATGGCTTTTCTCCAGTGTGAATCCTCCTGTGATTTCTTAACTGTGCCCTTTCTCTGAAGGACTTTTTACAAAGTTCACATTTGAATGGTTTGTCTCCAGTATGAATCCTTCTATGAACCATCAATGTAATCAACTGTCTAAAGAATTGTGAACAAAATTCACACTGAAAAGGTTTCTCACCAGTATGAATACGTATATGATTCAAGAAATGTTTTCGCTGAAAAAACACCTTAGCGCAATGTTCACACATGAATTTTTTCTTTCCAACATTATGAGTATGTGGTTTGTCGCTGTTATGGATACTTTTATGCCATAAGTAAGACTTTTGTGTAGAAAAGCATTTATGGCAATGTTCACATTTAAATTTCCTTCCGCTAGTATGACATTTCATATGTTTGCTCAGTAAACTCATGAACTTAAATTGCTTGGAGCAATGTTCACATTTAAATGTGTTATCATCTCTGTGTAATTTCCTATGCTTACTCAACAAGGCTTTCTCATTAAACTGCTTTGAACAATGAGAGCACTTAAATTGCTTATCCTCAATATGAGTTTTTCTGTGGAGTAAAAGTTCCTTTTTCATTCCAAAACACTTCAAACATGTTTTACACTTATATATTTTTGTGTGCATTGCCAAGTGCCTTCTTATTGAAGTTTTAAGTCTAAATTGTGAAGGACAATGTTCACATTTGAATGGTTTTTCATTACTGTGGATTCTTTTATGACGATGTAAGTTTCTTGAATATCTAAAACATTTTAAACAAAGTTCACATTTGAATGGTTTTTCATCACTGTGGATTCTTTTATGACTATTTAACCCTGCCAGGGTTCTACAGCATTTCAAACACTCTTCACATTTGAATGTTTTTTTATCACTGTGGATTCTTTTATGAATATATAACATTGTCGGTGTTCTAAAAGATTTCAAACACTCTGCACATTTATATGGTTTCTCACCAGTGTGAAGCCTTCTATGAGCTACCAAACTACCTTTATATTCAAAACATTTAGAACATTGTTTACACTGAAATTCTTTTGTGTGTAATCTCATATGGCACTTAAGGAGACTTTTTTCACTGAATTGTTTCAAACACTCTTCACATTTATATGGTTTCTCTCCCAAATGTACATTTTTCCTATGCATTGTTAAATTGTACTCTTGTATGAAACATTTTGAACAATATTCACACATGAATGGGGTTTCCCTTGTGTGAACCCGAATATGTTTTTCCAAATGGTCTCGTCTCAAGAAATATTTTGGACAATATTGGCAATGAAAAAGATTTTCACCTGTGTGTATTCTCCTGTGAAAGTTGAGTTTAGATTTGGTTCTAAATGCTCTGTTGCAATCACTACATGTGAAAATCTTACCCATATGAAATTGCTTTTTGTGTAAATTCAAATATGAATTACAAATAAATCGTTTTGAACACTCATCACATTGATATGTTTTTTCTGCAAAATGGATTTTCAGGTGAATGTTTAATGTGCTTTTGCTTTCAAAACATTTTGAGCAAACATCACATTTAAACAAAGTTTCATCATGAACATGATGCAAGTGAGTGTTCAAATCATTTTTAGAAGGAAAATTTTTTGGGCAATATCTGCATGTGTTCTGACTCCCTACATGGCTAAACTGGACGTGAGTTTTCAAGTCTTGTCTAGAAGTAAACACTTCAAAGCACTGTTTACATTTATGGGTAGAATTAAAATGGATATTCAAATCTTCTTCACAAGTAAAGAGTTGTGAGCACTGATTACATGTGTATGGCTTTAGACTATGGATTTTAGAATGGCTGGTCAGCTGTTTGTTTGTTTCAAAACTCTTTGGGCAAAGAGTACACTTGAAGTGCAGGGAGCTCTTTAAATGATTTCTCATTCCGACCAAAGATTTATATTCCTTGTTGCAAAAACCACATTGAATTTTGATCTTATGTAAAGTAATCAAATGCATCATCAAGTCAATCTCATCCATGAAGCTGTATGTACATATATCACACTTAAAGTGTTTGTATGTTTGTTTATGTTTCCGAAAAATCTGGTTTGTTCTGAAATTCTTATTGCACAGATTACAAAGTGTTTTACTGTCCTGCATTGTTTGTCCTGGTCTTTCGTCTGGCACTTTACCAACAGGGGTAAATGTATTTTGTCCGAAACAGTAAACTCTGTGGAGCTCTGGAATGAGAAAAAATAAGTTGAAAACAGCACTAGAAAATAGCCTTCCAAAGGTAAGGATTAAAAGGTGGATTGGATCAAGTGCATTGGATTCATGTAAACTAGTTAAATAGAAAAGATTATGTTTTTTAAAAAATTTAAAAATTTGGCTGCCATCTTGAAAATTTCTTCTTGAGCAGAGCTCTTATGTCCTTTCATGCCTTTAAGGTAGCAGCGTATAAATTTTTAATCAAATCTGTCAACTGGTATTTGAGCCATCAAAGATTACATTTTTAACAACAAAAGGCAGCTATTTTGATAAATAGCAGCCATCTTGAAAACATATTCTTGAGCAGACCTCCTTTATCTCTATAAAGCATCAGCATATGAAATCAAATCCATCCACTGCTACTCCATTTATCAAAGATAACATTTTTTACAAAAAATATGTCTATTTTAAAATTCAGCTGTCATCTTTAAAATTTCCTCAACAGAGTTCCTTTGTCCCTAGGGATCAGCATATAAAATTTGAACCAAATCAATCCACTGATATTTGAGTTATCAAAGATTACATTTTGTAATACAAAGCGGCAGCCATTTTGAAATTTAATCGCCATCTTGAAAATTCTTTCTTAAACAGAGCTACTTGCTTGAATTACACCAGAAAAACGCTAAAAGCACTAAAGTGCTTCACAAAATCGCCATCCTGATTACACCAATATTACAACTGTCATTTCTAAAATGCCTTTTGTGCACTTTTAACAATGTAGATATGGAGAATATCCAGCAGATATGTACATCTACAATAAATTATTCTTTTAGCATCTAAGAGAAAACATAAACGAGACATTTGCTAGTGATGTGAACTTACTTTCAATTTTTACGATATAATTTGATGACCTATTGCATGTGAGTTCTCATCCATCATTTCCTGTATTTTGGTAGAAATTAATGGCAAAAACAGGGATAAAGCATTTTACAAAAACAAGGATAAAGCATTTTACAAAAACCAATCAGTATTACACTACACTCCTGAAGGCACCTAAGGTTAAAACTTTAGGCGCCTTTCTAAAACGCACGGTGTAATCCCAGCAACTGTGCCCTAGGCACCAGCACATACAATTTGAACCAAATCCGCTCACTGGTATTTGAGTTATCAAAGATTCCTTTTTTTATGAAAAATTGTGGCCCATTTCAAATTAAGCTGGTTTTTCTCCAGTGTGAATCCTCCTGTGATTTCTCAACTGTGCCCTTTCTCTGAAGGACTTTGGACAAAGTTCACATTTGAATGGTTTCTCTCCAGTATGAATCCTTCTATGAACCATCAATGTAATCAACTGTCTCAAGAATTGTGGCCAAATTCACACATGTGTCCTATGGGGGTAGAAGTTCAGCTCGAAAGTCAATTTTCAAAATGGCCACTCATTAAAAAATGGCAGCCATTTAAAGAAATCTCCCACGTAAACAAAACCAGACTGAATCCAGTTTTATAGAATAAAACACAGCCATTAAAAAAATTGCTTGTTCGACCATAACACTTCCCTGAATATATCATCATTTTTAATTTTCTTTCATTACTTACTAGTTTTAGGTTTACATGTGTTAAACAAGCAAAATATTACCTTATAAAAAGGTGTAAATATGTTCAGATTTCCTTATAAGGTCAAAATATTTCCCATGATGCAATGCAAAGAGGAACAAATTCATACTACCTTGTTTTCCCCCATAGGCTTAACATGGGGATTTTCACATCTATTTTCCAATCCATGTATTCGTTCATATTTCCGTACAGGAGTACAGAAAAAAATATGATCGAATCTCCTATTAATCTTAATATTTGAACAAATATTCCCCCATAGGCTTAACATGGGGATTTTCACATCTATTTTCCAATCCATGTATTCATTCATATTTCCATACGGGAGTACAGAAAAAAATATGATTGAATCTCCAATTAATCTTAAGATATTTTGATTCATAGCGTGGTGAAAACGATGATAGAAAAGTGAGAAAATATTCCGGAATAAAAGGTCATGTGATCAGTTGACTAGTCGCCATATTGTAAAAAATAATTACATTTGACTTTCAACACTTTCATTCCAATCTTACCACACTACAAACTGCAACATCGGTGCAACAACAGATGATGGATAGCTGGGTGGATGGAGGGATCAATGGATGGATGGATGAAAGGATGGATGGATCAATATACGGCTGGCTGGGTGGATCAATGGATGGATGGCTAGGTGGACCAATGGATGGATAACTGGTTGGATGGATCAATGGATGGATGGCTGGCTGGATTGATGGATCAATGGATGGATGCATGGATCAAAAGATGGAAGGATGAATGGATAGATCAAAGGATGGATCGATGGATGAATGGATAGATCAAATGATGGATGATTGGGTGGGTGGATCAATGGATGGATAGCTACGAGGGGTGATCAGGAATTTCTGGACCGTTGGCTCTATTTTTGCTATTTTTTTATCTTTTCTTGATGATTTTTTCACACAATATAACCCAAATATATAGGATCACACCATAAAGATTTCATTGTTCTATGAAATCATTATCCTCTTATTTTTGTTATATGGTAACCGGTGACGCGACAAGGTGGAGCTCAGAAAAAATAACAAATTTGAAAAATCAACAGTAGTTTTATATGATGTTTGGACACTGTATTCATCGCTGAATATGTGACATACTGCAATAGGTTGTATTATATCATGAAGTATATTCATTAATGAAATATATTCATTATGTTCATAGTAACTATTATTATTCTTTCATCAATTCTAATCCTTAAAAGTGGTTATCAGCACTTTGTAAGCATTTGTTATGCCTTTTCACCCAGTCCTGAAAGATGTGATACTCTGTGTCTTTGCCTACTTTGTAACATTAGTGTGTGAATTCCTGAATGATCTCATAATGTCCTCAAAGTGGATACCTCATAATTTGTTCTTCACTGTTGGGAAAAGATAGAAATCACACCCAGCTAATTGTGGGGGATACAGTGCATGTGGTAAATGGCCACAACCAACGGAAACAATCACATTTTGTAGGCAAAGATGGTCTCTATCAGTATCACGCTTTTCAGGACTTGGTGAAAAGGCATAACAAATGCTTACAAAATGCTGGTAACTACTTTGAAGGCTTAGAATTGATGGAAGAATAATGCCAGGTACTATGAACATTAATGAATATACTTCATGATATAATACAACCTATTACAGTATGTCACATATTCAGCGATGAATACAGTGTCCAAACATCATATAAAACTACTGTTGATTTTTCAAATTTGTTATTTTTTCTGAGCTCCACCTTGTCGCGTCACCGGTTACTATGGTAACAAAAATAAGAGGATAATGATGCCAAAGAACAATGAAATCTTCATGGTGTGATCCTATATATTTGGGCTATATTGTGTGAAAAAATCATCAAGAAAAGATAAAAATGGCAAAAATAGAGCCAACGGTCCAGAAATTCCTGATCACCCCTCGTAGATGGATGGATGGATCAATGGATGGATGGCTGGGTGGACCAATGGATGGATGACTGGTTTGATGGATCAATGGATGGATGGCTGACTGGATGGATCAATGGATGGATGCATGGATCAAAGGATGGAAGGATCAATGGATGCATCAAGGATGGATCTATGGATGAATGGATAGATCAAATGATGGATGATTGGGTGGGTGGATCAATGGATGGATGGCTGGGTGGATGGTTGTGTGGATGGATGGTTAAGTGGATGGATCAATGGACGGATGGCTGGGTGGATGGATCAATGGATGGATTGCTGGGTGGATGACTGGGTGGATGGATCAATGGATGGATTGTTGGGTGGATGGATCAATGGATTGATTGCTGGGTGGATGGATCAATGGATGGATTGCTGGGTGGATGGATCAATGGATGGATGGCTGGGTGGATGGATCAATGGACGGATGGCTGGGTGGATGGATAAGTGGATGGATGGATGGATCAATGGATGGATGGCTGTGGATGGCTGTGTGGATGGATGGCTAAGTGGATTGATCAAAGAATGGATGGCTGGGTGGATGGATCAATGGATGGATTGCTGGGTGGATGGCTGGGATCAATGGATGGATTGCTGGGTGGATGGCTGGGTGGATGGATCAATGGATGGATGGCTGGGTGGATGGATCAATGAACGGATGGCTGGGTGGTTGGATCAGTGGATGGGTGGATGGATCAATGGATGGATGGCTGGGTGGGTAGATCAATGGACGGATGGCTGGGTGGATGGATCAGTGGATGGATGGCTAGGTGGACCAATGGATGGATGACTGGATGGATGACTGGTTGGATGGATCAATGGATGGATGCATGGATCAAAGGATGGAAGGATCAATGGATGGATCGATGGATGAATGGATAGATCAAATGATGGATGATTGGGTTGGTAGATCAATGGATGGATGGCTGGGTGGATGGCTGTGTGGATGGATGGTTAAGTGGATGGATCAATGGACGGATGGCTGGGTGGATGGATTAATGGATGGATTGCTGGGTGGATGGCTGGGTGGATGGATCAATGGATGGATGGCTGGATGGATCAGTGGATGGATGGATGGATCAATGGATGGATGGCTGGGTGGATGGCTGTGTGGATGGATGGCTAAGTGGATTGATCAATGGACGGATGGCTGGGTGGATGGATCAGTGGATGGATGGATCAATGGATGGATGGCTAGGTGGACCAATGGATGGATGACTGGTTGGATGGATGGATGGATCAATGGATGGATGCATGGATCAAAGGATGGAAGGATCAATGGATGGATCAAGGATGGATCGGTGGATAGATCAAATGATGGATGATTGGGTGGGTGGATCAATGGATGGATGGCTGGGTGGATGCCTGTGTAGACAGATGGCTGGGTGGATGGCTGTGAGGATGGATGGTTTAGTGGATGGATCAATGGACAGATGGCTGGGTAGATCAATGGACGGATGGCTGGGTGGATGGATCAGTGGATGGATGGATTGCTGGGTGGATGGATGGGTGAATGAACTTATGGATGGCTGGGTGGATGGATGGATCAAAAGATGGATGGATAGGTGGATGGATGGATGGATGAATAAATGAATGGATTAGTAGGCGATTCCATAAGGTTCACAATGTGAGCTTACAAAATGCTAATTTAATGTAGACTAACATACTTTTATTGCCTTTATCTGGAGCCTTTGAAGTGGCTTGACTTTGTGCATCAGATTCAAGATAAGGCTTCACATCATCATAATCAGAGTGGATATCTCTGTCATCTTCATCCATATTAGTATCTCTGTAGATACTGTCCATTTGAGTCAATGTACCATCATCTTTAATATGCAAGTCCCCACTGTCATTATCATCTCCTTCATTCATAAGGATGTTTTGCATCAGGTTTTCTGTAAGTAAAGAAACAACTGTTTCAAAATGTTATATTTTTAATGACAAAATATGTGAAAATTAGGGAGACTGACAGATTGGTTAATTCTAAAAAATCTTTTAATATTCACATTTCCACAAAGTAAAGAAAATCGATAATTTTCGGCGCGCTGATTGGTTGTATGCAAATGAGTCAAATCAATGACGTCAATGATGGAAAGTTTTGAAGAATTAGTACAGCCAGCATAGGAATATTTTGAATTAACTGCTATAAAAAGGATTCTATTTGCCAACGTACTAATTATTTTTAAGCAAACATTAAATATGGACGGGGCACTTTCTTTCCGAATCTTATGTAATTTAATTTAATCATTTTTTTGACAGAACTATTGTTTATTAAGACTTCTCAGATCAGCCTTACATACCCGGGCTCATGTGTCTCGTGCGATTGTAAACAAAAAATGTAAATTGTGAAGTTACAAACATCGGCTAAATTATCTGATAGTGGTCATACACTATCCTGTTAAATGGTTATTATGTCGTAATAAGAAGTTCCATCAGAAATTCACCATGAGTGACATTTGCGCAAAGCGTTACCTTTTGGTATTTATTCGCCATCAGCGATGTCAATAATGATCAGCAATCTCAACATATCATCAATAAACATTATATGATATACGCTCTTTCTCTGAAATCTTCCCAGTCATCATTATTCAAAACCGATCATCACATAACTAATTTATCCAATGACAAGTGAGGTTTCACAAGGAAAAATCGGGACACCCATATCCATGTTTGATTTCAAGCGTTCTCATTCTCATTATTTTCGAGAAATCCATCATCATTTTAGTTAAGAAAAATTCTACGGTCTGTTGGATCTATTTTGACAGTTTTGCTTTAGCAAGATATTTTAACAAATTGACTGTTTCTACACTGAATAAAAAACATTTTCCCGGGGATATTTGGATCGGGAGATACGCAGCGGGAAATATACATTGGAATATATATACATGTTTAACCCATACTTGGACGTATATTGGGAATATTTGAGAGAACAGGAAAATCCGCCCACGGCCAAGAAAACAAAACTGGACATGAATATTCTAAAATATTTGGCCAATATAATATATTTTCCCTCGGGACCTTCGGCCCTCGGGCAGATATATTATAATTGCCTCGGGATAATCCCAATATCCTGAACTTCATGTAGGATAACCTCTATATATGTCACGCTCCTCTAAGATATCAATTCTATATCCGGTTATAATGAAAACACGCGCTACGCGCTAACGCGCTAGCGCACTAACGCACTGTTCAAAATGATCGTTCCCACAGGCCCGGGAACATGTATAAAAATCGAGTGAGTGAAGAGATTAGGTGGCTCATCAGAAAGCAGAAGTATGAAGAAGCCCAATGTTTGATCGTTAACTGTGCAAAGATTATCGATTGTCAGTGTGTTTTATCTGATTTAAAAGGAAGATAGAAAGTAGCACCTTACAAGATGAATGGTCGCAGATATGCGAATATGCTCCCTATTTCATTGCATTATTTGGGTCCATCCATCGGCGAGAAAAATCCCGTTTCGAAATCTGACCCGGGGGCCCGACTACTTGACTAATGACTTAATATAATGTTTATTTGTCGCATGTTACCTCTTAATATCAAGTCATGGATGTTTTATATATCTTTACTCTTTGTATTTGAAGTTATATCTCACATGACTTACTAAACGGTGGAATAATTCAGGCGTCGCATTTATATTTTTCCATTTTTCTTTTCGTGCCCGGTTACTCTCTTTCGCTTTCATGGGGGGGGGGGGGTGTATAGGGTTATCGTATAAGAGGAGGGTGAAAATCTATTGTGTATGGCCGCATAAGAGGGGGCAACATTTATCGTATATGGCATCGTATAAGTTAAATAAACATATGTTTTAAAAGAATTAAAGAAGCCTATTATGAAATTTAAAGGCAGTTTGAACGAATACTGCAGATCCAGCTTATCCCCATAAATTTGGGATTTCAATACACAAGTAGTTGTGGGGGCTTGCCCGTAGCCAGCTTTTTTCCAGGGGAAGCTTTTTCACAATTTTGGCTAATAATCATGAAAAAAAATCTCAGAATGGTGAAAAACTGCATGATTTTGAAAGAATCTCTGGCCAGAGGGGGAGCTCCGCTCCCTCAGCTCCCCCTCTGGCTACGGGCCTGATTGTGGGGGTGATTTGAAAAATCAGTCCCACGTTTATGGGGGTAATTCAGATCTCTATATAGTAGTCTCTATATGCCATATGCCAGGACAGTAACCAGGATTTCCCAGGGGGGGGGGGTCACTTTTTCAAAAATTCCAAAGTCACCCTCCGAACCCCCCTGGCTTCGGGGCTGTGTACTGCCTATTTGCAGTATGATTATACATTTGGTACTACGTGGATTCTTGCATTATGTTAATTCCTTCTGAATATTATCCAAACTTTTCTCAACGGTAATTTCAAAATTATCGTACAGATATATTATTTACCCGACCTTTTTGTAAAATATGGTACTATAGGGAGTAGGTGCATTCATGCACCCTCTGGGTCTCTGAGGATCGTGTTGGTTCACCGTCTATATAGGGAGATGTGAAAAATATTGCATACACTGTATGTTATACATGTAAAAGGAGTGAAAAATGCTGTAAATGGTATAAGACTGAAGGGCTTGTGAAAAATAGTGTATATGGATTTCCAAGACCCCTATGAACCCCCCTTTCATGTTTGCTTTCGTTTTTCTCAATTTGATTTTAGATTTAAAAAGTTTTGAATTACGTCAGTCCCAGTGAATTGTATTACCTATTTTACCAGGAATATTGTTGAAAACAGGATTGTATTTCATTTGGAATTAAAGTTTTAAATAAGAGACGATTTAAAAAGTAATGTAAACCCGACCAGCGTGTTTTATCATTGTCCGGTAATTGGCCGTAAATATTTATTAATTCTAAGTTACTAATGTTCTTTCAGGTCAAATACAGAGAAAAGTACACGTTCATTTAGTTTTGGAATTATTTCCTAAATTGAAGTTGAATTCTGTTTTTTAACGGTGTGAAGAACATCTGAATTGGTCTTATACTTTTAGAGAAATCGTAACTTGAAAAGTGTAATTTTCGAGAGGCTTTGTTTATTTCCTGCGGCCGCAAAGTTCACATCAAAGTCTGATTGACAGGTTAGCGGTGATTTATACAGTCTTTGAAGTGTCAATGTTTTGACAAGTTCCCAGGGAGTCATAACCCTAATTATACATGTCCCTGGGCCAAGGGTATAGACCAATCATAATCATGTGCTTAAAACATGCGCACACATCGTGGGGGAAGGATCATTTTCTATTAGCGCATTGGCGCGTGGCGCGTTAGCGCGTAGCGCGTGTTTTCATTATAACCTCTATATCCCAATGTTTTCAAGTATAATATTTTCAAGATACGATCTGATATAACTTGCAGAAATAAATAGGAAGTAATCGTTTAGTTGTTTGAATTATGGAAGTAGTGAAGTCAATGATTTAATGAATAAGAGCAAATGTTTTTAATTTGAACAGGTCATTCATCAAATGACACTGAAGATTAACTTAAAATAGATTGTCTATCTATATATTTTTATGCATAAGAGACATGTTATAATGTTGGTGAACTAATGATTATGATAATTTTACCTGTTCACATCATGATTGAAAACTGACCGGGAGTAATTCTTTTCAAATTATTTACTCATTATGAACAGACATTTAATATTTAAATCGCTTAGAAGGCGTAAATAAATGTCAATTTGACGTTCAATAAAAATCTGTCAATAATTTACTGATTACTTGCACATTTGAAGAGGTAAAACTTACAGCAATCAACCGAGGATTTACATGTTAACTCAATTGCATTTGTTTTTCGCGGGAAAAAGTTTCAGTCATTGACGTCACCGATTTTTAAGCAGCTCATTATAATATTCATGAGCTGACTTTGTGGAAAGGTGAATAACATAGCAAAAATTGCAAAACAAGCCACAGGGTGAACAGAATCGCACCCTTGAACAGAATACACTTTTCGCGATGGAAAATTCAAAATGGCCACCTTAACATTTACCCAGACTGCCTAAAAACTAATCAGTTCTAAACTTTCCATAGAAACATCTCTAAAATTTTAGGATGAATCCATGAAACCTTTAAACAACCCTCAAGAGACACGTTTTGAGGTATTACTTCACAGTGTATCAGCTTTTCTTCTACAATTCAGATTTTCCTGAAAATACAATATAATACAATACTGATATATTACAAAATATGTGAAAATTGGAAAGATTGACAGTTTAGTTATTTCTAAAAAATGTTTTAATTTAACATTGCTCTCAATGGGAAATTCTTTTTTATTTTTTAAAGCAAGCCTTTACAGACACGATCTTGGGACAAAAAATCCAAAATGGCCACCTTAACATTTACCAAGAATGCCAAAAAACTAATCAGTTCTAAACTTTTATCGGTAGAAACATCCCTGAGAATTTCAAATGAATCCCTCAAACAGTTTGGCTGGAAACCTGTAGACAAGCCTTTACAGACAAGATTTTAGGACGGAAAATCCAAAATGGCCGCCTGAACATTTACACAAAATGCCGAAAAACTAATCAGTTCCAAACTTTCATAGGTAGAAACATCCCTGAGAATTTCAAATGAATCCCTCAAAGAGTTTGGATGGAAACCTGTAGACAAGATTATTTGGGGTTGCCTGCCCACCCAATCACCCGGCAAACTGATTACAATATAGCACCTTAAGGTGCGATAAAAACACACGTAAAATTGGCCAATATTTTCAAAATGCTCGCTCACTACCCAAGATGTCATAAAAAAGTGTAATTTGAACAGAATCTCTCTATTACTTCTTGAGTAATAGTGAATAAACGAGAACACAAATGTGTACAAAATGTCCCCACCTATTGGTGATCCCGTCAAATGGTTATCCTGAAAATGAGTAGACAAGACTTTACTGACACAATTTGAGGATGGAAAATCCAAAATGGCCACCTTAAAATTTAATCAGAATGCCAAAGAATTAGACAGTTCTAGATTTTCATACTAAGAACCACCCCTGAAAATTTGAAATTGATCCGTCACACAGTTAACCAGAAAACATGTAAACAAGACTTTACAGACAAGATTTAAGGACAGAAAATCCAAAATGACTGCCTTGACATTTATCCAGAATGCCAAAAAACTAATCAGATCTAGATTTTCATACTAAGAATCATCCCTGAAAATTTGAAATTGATCTAATCAGATCTAGATTTTCATACTAAGAATCATCCCTGAAAATTTGAAATTGATCTACCAAACGGTTCACCTAAAAAAACGCGTAGACAAGACTTTACGGGCAAGATTTTAAAACGGAAAATCCAAAATGGCTGCCTTGACATTTATCCAGAATGCCAAAAAACTAATCAGATCTAGATTTTCATACTAAGAATCATCCCTGAAAATTTCAAATTGATCTACCAAACAGTTCACCTGGAAATGCGTAGACAAGACTTTACAGACAAGATTTTAGGACGGAAAATCCAAAATGGCTGCCTTGACATTTATCCAGAATGCCAAAAAACTAATCAGATCTAGATTTCATACTAAGAATCATCCCTGAAAATTTCAAATTGATCTACCAAACAGTTCACCTGGAAATGCGTAGACAAGACTTTACAGACAAGATTTTAGGACGGAAAATCCAAAATGGCTGCCTTGTCATTTACCCAGAATGCCCAAAAACTAATCAGATCTAGATTTTCATACTAAGAATCATCCCTGAAAATTTGAAATTGATCTACCTAACCGTTCACCTGGGAATGCGTAGACAAGACTTTACAGACAAGATTTTAGGACGGGAAATCCAAAATGGCTGCCTTGACATTTACCCAGAATGCCCAACTAATCAGATTTAGATTTTTATACTAAGAATCATCCCTGAAAATTTGAAATTGATCTACCAAACGGTTCACCTGAAAACGTGTAGACAAGACTTTACAGACAAGATTTTGGGATGGAAAAATTCAAAATGGCCGACAATAAAAAAGTGATTATGAGTTTTTGCTGATTTCTTTTTACAAAATTATCACATATAACTACTGTTAACAATAATATAGGCTTTTACAACAAAGTACACGTGAAGTTATTTATAAAGCTACTAAATAGTTAAAGTATGAAAACTGAAAAACACCATTCAATATGATACAAAGTATTATCGTGCGCTAACTTTTCTTAAAACATTCAAAATGGCTGACATGACTGAGCTAACAGGTCCAAAACCTAATCAGATCTAGAATGAATTGAGCTGAACAAGATATTAAAGTTTTAAAGGCAACTGTGAAACCGTTTTTTTTTAAAGTTTGCAGACAAGGATTTTAGCATTTGACTTCAAAATGGCCGACAGGAAGTAGGTATCGAGTTAATTTTTTTTCATCCACATCTGTATGCACTCATAAGTTATCCCTGAAAATTTGAAGGTGATATCTGTAGCGGTTTTGGAGGAAACTGCCGGACGTACAGACGGACAGACAGACAGACGGACGCGCCTAGGCCGACAATATGGCCCCACACTATGTGGTGGGGACATCGACGTACGGACGGACAGACAGACGGACAGACAGACGCGCCTAGGCCGACAATATGGCTCCACACTATGTGGTGGGGACATAAAAAGTAAAACAACACATGTAAAATGGCAGCCATGGTCAAAATCATTGACCATTTATCTGTCATGTCATTGTGAGGTTTAAGTTGGATAACCAATTTGTATTAGATCTCAGGAGAACTAATAGGCTTGGGCCAAGGCCCTCAGCTATTGTTTTTCCTAAAACCCAATACTCATGGTTTATCCATGACAGAATGTATCATTTATGTGAAAATTGTTGACATATGGATGAGCAGATGGATGGACAAATGGATGTAGTGGATTTATGAACCAGAACAACGGCAACGCCAAAGCGTAGCGAATCCCATCGAACAGAAATGGCTGGCATTTTTACAAACGAAATATATAGCAAATATCATAAAATAACACACCAGAAAGGCCACCATTTTCAAAATGGTTGCTCACTAGCCAAGTTGTCATCAGAAGAAATATAATATGCTTTTAAGTAGCCACCTCTAAAAATGGTGGCCATTTTTCAAAATTGCCGACTACTCCCCAAAGTTTTATTAGACAATGTGCCATGCTTAAAGTATTCACATATCAAATATGAACAAAATCGCTCCACTACTTTTCGAGTTATAGTAAAATACGTTAAAATGGCGGCCATTTTCAAAATGGCCTTCTACCAAAAGTGTCATTAGAAATAGACAGCGTGCCACGCTTATAGTATTCACATACCAAATATGAACAAAATCACTCCACTACTTTTCGAGTTATAGTAAAATATGTTAAAATGGCGGCCATTTTTCAAAATTTTTTTCAAAATGGCCGCCTTCTACCAAAAGTGTCATAGGACAGTGTGCCATGCTTATAGTATTCACATACCAAATATTCTACAAAATCGCTCCACTACTTTTTGAGTTATAGTAAAATACGTTAAAATGGCGGCCATTTTTCAAAATGGCCGCCTTCTACCAAAAAGTGTCTTTAGACAGTGTGCAATGCTTATAGTATTCACATACCAAATATGAACAAAATCGCTCCACTACTTTTTGAGTTACAGCAAAAATCGTAAAAGGCCGCCATTTTTCAAGATGGCTGCCATGTGCTTCTTTAATATCTACATTTGTAGCATTATTAATGTCCTTATAATTTTTTACATTTAAAACATATTGCTATTACAGTTTTACATATTGTACCTAAATTACTGTAAAATCAACACTAAAATGGCCGCCATTTTGAAATGAGCGGCCATTTTGAAAATCGGCTTTCGAGCAGAACTTCTACTCTCATAGGGTATATGTGTACAAAATATGAACAAAATCGGGCCAACGGTATTTGAGTTATTGCCCGGACGGACGGACGGTGGACGGACGGACGGACGGACGGACGGAGGCGTTCCCTATATCCCTCCGAACTTCGTTCGATGGGATAACAATTGAATGGATGGATGGAGATGGAAAAACACAAGAATGAACAAACAGATTCTATTAAGGCTCACAATAAGCTAGCAAAAAGACTGAAAGGTAAATTTGCTTAATGGCTTGTGCTGAGGCAAGAGCCATATCTCACTTGGGTTAAGTAGTAAGTGATAACGACAATGGACTGAGGTTTAAACTTAGTTTACTAGTAGAAAACCTGATGGGTTAATATTTATTTATTGATGAAAATGAGATAATTCCTCGAGCAAAAGTTTAACCCTAAGGTGTTAGTTTATAATAAAATTGCGTTAGAGAGGGTTTCAAGCGATATTTACGCAATTTTACAACAACACCATGAACACTGTGCACTGATTTTCAGCAACATGATTTCCTAAATACGACAGGAGCGACTTCTTGATTTAGAATTGTGAACAATTTACAGCAATAAAAATCTCCGAACATTTAACTATTTTATTAATATCTTCGGAGAACGAGAATCAAATTGACCCATCTTTACTTTTTGATATGTTTGGATGTTTTCTAAGAGGTCCAGGTACTCAGACCTTCACAATTTAAAGATCTTAATCAGTTCAAAATGTTCGGATTTTTTCTACTTTTGCTGTTCGGTAAATTACAACCGTGTTAAAAGTAAGCATCCCTATTTATCAATACAATTTATTACAACACTGCAAACATCTCCTTCACACGAGCCTTCATTTTTTTAAATGATCTCTTGTTACCTTTGTCGGGAGCTTTTGAATTGGCTTGACTTTGTGCATCAGATAATAATTCAAGATTAGGCTTCACATCATCATTATCAGCGTGGATATCTCTGTTATCTTCATCCATATTAGTATCTCTGGAGATACTATCCATTTGAGTCAATGTACCATCATCTTTAATATGCAAGTCCCCGCTGTCATTATCATCTCCTCCATTCATAAGGATGATTTGCAATAGGCTTTCTGCAAGTAAAGAATGAAAAATTTCATATCAAATTTTTAATAACAGTTTTTCTTCCTCAACTTGACAGTCTATAGTTATGTAAACCAGTGCTTTCAGCAGTCCAAGAGTGCGTCCCTGGGATGGATTGATTTTCAAAAAGTAAGTCCCCCCTCAAAAGAGTGCGTCCCATGAAAAAAGGTTCCCGGGAATTCAAAGTCACATTTTTACACTGAACGAAAAAATTGATGAAAAGTAATATCGGCCTAAATTTAAGCGTTCTAAAAACGTCTAGAAGGTCACTTAATGATATAGGTACCTTCACTTGAAAGAGATAACTAATATTCAACCATTAATACGCATTTTCTTTTCGTATTTCGAAGCAATTTGCACAAGGGGCAATTTCCGCAAGGTTCCATTAATTAGTTCCGTTTTATGTGCATGCGCAACAAATCCAGTAATTTGATTAGTTGAAATTATTAAGACGCATGCGCGATCAACAATCGTGGCCAATCATAGGATTCTTGTTGATTACCGCTCTGTATTGTAGCAACTACTTAGTGATTGTCCTATCCATGGGCTTTCTAATAGAAAGGCCATGTCCTATCACAGGCCTCGTACTATTTCGATCGGAAATCAACTTCTGGAAAGGAAATTTGGAAAGAAAATATTGTATTTCTTTTAGAAATAGAATATCCTTCATTTATTTAGCAGATTTTGACCAAATAAAAGATGGAAGGTAAGATCTTTTTCCGAGTCTATCAATTTTGTTAATTGAAACATAGGACTTTGCGTCCAAGGGACGGATCATTAAATCAAAATCAGGGTCCTCCTCATGTTAATTGCGCATTACTGAAAAAGATGGAGATGGATAGAGAAGATGGATAGAGAAGGTTTCAAACGACATATACGCAATTTTACAACAACACCATGAACACTGCACTGATTTTCGGCAAACTGTTTATAATTCTGTGTTTTTTGACCAAATAATTTTTCTTTGATATTTATGATTATTTTACAGAAGAGAATGATGTTATCACATGAAGGCATTCATACTTTACCTGCTCATTACCAAGCATTGCCACAAAATCATTATAGCAATTTTTGTAAAATAAATTGAGAAATCGTTTAAGCATGTTAAGAAACCTTCTAAAAAAAAGTTTTTACCATTAAGTGGAAGCTGATATTGTTCTGAAGGAGACATTAGTTCTGCATCCTCAGTCACTACATCTCCCTGCACATAGTCCACAATACCATATTGTTCCTCACGCTTTGATTGGCTAAGAAGGTCTTGACTCTGTGGCGTAGTTTCCATTCTCTCATCTGTATCTTTGGTGGATGCAAAAATTAGAGGATGGTTGGTATTCAACAGTTCAGGAGGTATAAAAATACTTTTTTCTGGATTTGGACGTTTTTTGATTTTCTTTGGTACATTATTTGTCTTAAGTTCAGCAGTTTTCCTATTATCATCAGAGTTATTGATTGCTGAAGATTTAACATTGACACTTTGTTTCTTGGATGGCAAAGTTTTATTGACTGCTGAATGCACCTCTTTGACAAATAGTTGCTTTGATGAGTCCATATAATTGACCATTGAAGTAATTTCTTTGCTAGTTTGTTGAAAAGATTGATTTGGGTTTTCCTCAGGTTGATCATCATGGAAGTCAGTGCTCCTCTCATCAGCATAGTTATGTTCTTCTTTTATAACAGCAATGAGTGTATCAGAAGCAGTTTCACATTCAGATGAACTCTTTTCTGGTCCATAAGGTAAAAGTTTTACATTTTCTAAGATTTTTTCACACATTGAACATGAATCTCCTAAACTAGTGATAGGAACTGCAATCAAACATTCCATACTATGAACTACAAGTTTTTGAGTATCATTGGTGTTATGACTATTTTCCAATTGGATTGAATAGTTTGCATTCCCTGTTTCCAATTTCTTTCCTGGGCAGACTGGAATGTTATCAACCACTGCTAAAACTGTGAGAATACCATCTTGTGATGTCATGTAATGGTCATCCACATCCACGTCATTCAGATTTACTGGTTTATCGTAAATCTTCAAAGACCACCTGCCACCTCTAAATTCAACTTTCTTCTCAACATTTAAATTATTGATTTTTAAGTCAATAACTTTAGCCAGGATGAGGGAAAACTCAGTTGTAGAATCAACACGCCAGCCAGTCTCTTTTATAAATGAGGTGTCATTACCAATGTTAAAAGCCTTATCCTTGTTATGAACCTTCCATTTTAGGCTATACAGAATATTGCTTGGCATGACCCTCGTTGATATTCCGATTTGGAAGTACTTTATCATTAAACATCCAAGTGTTTTCTGATCCACAGGGGTGAGACCACACTTGTGTCTATCTTTATTGCACTTGGAGAGTATTTCTTGGAGAGTAATGCCATTATCTGAAGCATCCCTCTGAAGGTTGTACTCCAACCTGGAAAAGTCAGTGATGAAAATAAGTAATTGTTTAATACCTTATGAAATGGATTTCCTGATCGACCAACATGGTATACCTTTTAACTTTATATTCAGAATTACATAACTCACTTTTACCGTGGGTGAAGTTATACTGTCTGGTTTTGGGAAAAAGGAATTGGGCGTTAGATGTGGGCAGAGGTTTCATTAACGGCGTCCTTCAATGGAGAGGACGTAAATCAAGATTGGGTGGACGTAAATTACAAAAAATAATTACGTTTTTGGAACGCAATATTATAGTACTTACCAATTCAAAATTGTCATTTTTGTAATTCTCATTTGCATTTGGAGGTCAGCTTTGCTTTAAACAGACATCTGATCTCCTCTAGTTGGCTCTAAAAACATTTAAAAAGAGCAAATTACTTTCAAAATATGATGAGTTACATATATGGGACCAAGTACAGTCAGGACTCAGTTTAACTCTTGTAATGTTTTCACTGGTGGAATCACAATGACAATCATCAAAATCATCTTTCTTTGAGAAAAACTATAGTTAGCAACATTCAGAAACAACAATTTGTATTGTGTTGCAAGTCAATTGGATTGTGTGTCAGTCAATCGCAGTTTGATTTCAGTTTGCATTCTCTTACTAAGTTTAAGAATGGAAACTGAAGGTAAAAGTGGGTGTGTTGAAGGTGCTGCAATCTGATTTTAATGTTTACACAGGCAAAATATATTGAGGCCCATACGAGGTTGTACGAGCCCTGATCCCTCAACGCCACAGGCTCTGTACAACCTGATACAGGCCTCGTGACAAGTCCCGTGATTGCTCTTATTTCCGAGCCTCGTGCTGGCTTGTGATAACAAGGCCTGTTAGAACCTGTAATTTCCAAACCATTTACTTGTCTGTACAGGGCCCGCAACGAGGCCAGTAACTATTAATAATTGTTGATCCATGTACTTTCCGTATGGGAATCGTAATAGCCCATAATAGCTCATTATTTCCAAGCTATGTAGCTTAGCGTTAAAACGTTTTACAAATGTAATGTTAATCCAGATTTTCTCAAGAGCTCCCGGCTAAACGCTCTATTACTCCCTTATTTACTCCAATTTTAATTCTGACATAATAATGTGGGGATGTGTGCCTGAAACTCTCTTAAATAAGCTTCATTCAATTCAAAAACAGTTTATACATATGCTCGATAAATCTCATCACTATAGAGATCCAACTAAACCACTCTTTATTGAACATAAATTGCTAAATATTCATCAAATTGTTAAGTTGAGAATTGCTTTATTTGTTTTCAAATGTGTTAAGGGCAATAATGACTTGATGGATGATCTTTATTCTTCTTACTTTACAACCAATTATAGCATCCATGACCGCGACACAAGAAAAAATTTGACCTGAGAGGCCCCAAGTTTAACACAAACATAGGCAAATTCTCTATTAGCCTTCAAGGCAAAACCATCTGGAATTCAATCCCAGAGAATATAAGATCATTGAACTCAGAAAAATTATTCAAATCAAAATATTTTCATCATCTATTAACTCAGCCACAACCAAGACTTTGAGGTGCTCACATGTTGTTTGATTACAATAAAATTCCCAACGCACCATTCCATTGGGCATTTTCTGGGACTTTTGATCTCAAGAATTCTTATCTTTGTTTTTTATCTTTAGCATGAACACCAACTATATCAGGAAACGGGGACATTGGGAGGAGGCCAAAACAGGTTTGTATCATAGCTGAAATTTGCAGGAACAAAATCTTTTTTACTTAATATAATAGTTCCAAGGATTTTTTCCATTCATATACCTATTTGTCATCTTCAATTGCTAACTCATATGAATTTTTTATTGTTACAGTGGGCACCATACACCTTTCAGTTTTAAAAATGTATTTATTTTCCATGTATGCTACTAGAATTTGTGCACATACCTTATAACGATCGATAATGGCAAAGGAAAATCCTCTAATTCTTCGTCATAATTTCTCCTTCGACGTCCGCCATTTTTTAATAAACCGGAAGTTTTTCTCTGACGTCCGCGCAATGTTTTTTCACTTTTATTTCAGATTACGCTTCGGATTCAACATTTAATGCTTTCTAATATTAATTAAGTGTTTTCTATCAGAAAGATTTCATAAAAAGACTCACACTATCAGAGATTTTATCGATTCGAGCAGCCAGAAAAATTAGTTTCAATTTCACCCGCTAGGTGTTTCGACGTCGACTTGGAAAGAATTTGAAAAATCTATGAGTGGGACTCCTTGTATGGAATTGTAGATTCTAAACGATTTGCCAGTTCTACTGGTTGATGAATATTGCCATATGCATACATTTTTATAAAATAGGAATAAGGAAGAAGATGTTGGACCAAACTTCACCCCGATAGCTCAGAAAAGGTAAAATTTCTCCATTTTTCTCTCCACAGACCTTAGAGCCGCTTTAACATACATTTTCATGTACAGGCAACATTAGCGCAAGCGCTATTCTCCAGCTAGTGTATAATAAAATCCAGGCCCGTAGCCAGAGGGGGAGAGGGGGAGCTGGGGAAGCTCCCCCTGGCCAGAAATTCTTTCAAAATCATATGCAGTTTTTCACACAATGGTATCAATGGTATATTCTAAAAATATAGGGAATAGTATATAGAGACTAAAAGTCCAAAAGGCTTTTGTGACAATATTTCCCGGAAGTGTTATATTTCCATTTATCCTTCAAACTGTGACATTTATGCTAATAACTCGACATGTATATGATTCTTACATACCCAATACGATCAAAAACGTTACTAACATACCAAATGAAAGGTGATTTCCTGGTCAAACTTGCAAAAGTTTGTCCAAATTCGCACTTGAACCGAATATTTACCGGAAGTGTTTATATTTCCATTTAGGTGTCACTACGGTAAATCATTGAAAAATATTGAAAAAAATCACAAAATTCAAGTTTGGGATACATATCGCCATTTTCGAACGAATTAGCCCATACAATAACTATATTTCTGCGTTCCCCTATACATAACCTTCATCTTGACCATACATTTAACATAGGGTTTGCGTCTCGATTTTTAAATATCACTACGCCAACATAGGGACTCATTTTTAGGTAAAATCCCTGCTTCACCGATGAAAATTAATGAATAAAGTAGTTCCAGTTTACGGCACTATATTTTGGCGATTTCTTTCTGAAATGGCACATTTAGAAAGTAATTGGCCTCAGTGCAGCTTTACATACATACCTCAAATGGCCACAATGCATATACTTAAGGTGCCATGGAAGTTAACAGGAAATGACAAAACAGGAATTGACAATTTTTTTTGTATTTTTAGACATTTTTTGAACAAAGATAACAGAGTTCTGTTTTGACCTCCAGTCAATTCAACTAGTTCCAAATACCATTTACAGGTCCAGGATCACAATGTTCATGGTCAGAATGACCCTAAACATGATGAAGTAACCTTTTCCGCCCTATGAATATGTGACTGAAAAATAGCTAAAAGTAGGTGCTCAGGAAAGGTCAATGAACAGAATCTTGTGATTTTTCCAGTAAATGTGTCCAATGTATTGCTCTAATGATACAATCTTTGAAAATTTGATATCATTCATAGAAAAAGAATTAAAATTGAAAAAAACTGATTTGAAAAGCAATCTATTTTCCTTTTTATGACCGCCATTTTTGTTTAAGAAAATTTTCTAAAATTTCAAAGATTGTATCAGTTAGAGCATTATATTGGGCACGTTTTCTGAAAAATTCAAAAGATTCTGTTCTGTGACCTTCCCTAGCTCCTACTTTAGCTTTTTTTCAGTCACACTTTCAAAGGGCTAAAAAGGTTATTTCATCATGTTTAGGGTCATTCTGACCATGCACATTGTGATCCTGGTCATGTAAATGATATGTGGAAATAGTTAAAATTGACTGGAGGTCAAACCAAAACTCTGTTATCTTTGTTCAAAAAATGTCTAAAAATGCAAAAAAAATTTCACTTCCTGTTTCGTCATTTCCTGTTAACTTCCATGGCACCTTAAACCTACTATGCACACCATTGAAGTTGGCATGGCTTCGTTTTTAAGTATTAAAGAACACTGTCCTACCCAGAAGTGGTATTTACCGTAGTAACACCTTAATATCCAAAAATGGAAAAAATTTACCATGATAATTTATGCTCATTCAGCATTTTTTCAAACAATTGAGTTATTTCATGCTCAAAACAGCTGGATTTTCAAACTTTTAACACATTTTCTACAAAATCTAGTCATATTTGGGGAAATAGGTGAGGGCTGAGTCTCTAAAAACTGGCCAAAATGACCTAAAATTGGGTCATCAACTTCAGACATCTCATGCAAAAAATTTAGATGCTAAATCCCCGAGATTATCTCATTTTGTAAATCATTATAGCAATGCCTTTCAAGTATTACACAGAATGTACTGAAATGTATGTTGCTAAATGCAAATATTTTGAGTCAAATGTGGTCCCCATGTGGAAAATCTGCCCTTTTTCTCCCCTTTACGCCAGTTAGGCCCCAGTGTATTGTGACATCATACTCATACCATTGCTACAATGTAGCCATTTTACAAATTAATCATGATTACTCTTCCTGTGATACACAGTTGAACACTGTTTTTGCATCGTGATATTCCCCAGTGTGTTGACTGATTACACGCCAGCTTACTTAGTTACTTACTAAGTACGCAATAACCACTATCAAAGACCTGCCGGCACCTATTTATTTTTGGGTTGGTAATGGAATTTTACAAGGGCAATACGAGAAGAATTCAATTTTTCAGAATTTCATGATAATTACGGTAGATTTTACGGTAGTTTGAACAAGAATACTTTAAATTCCAGCAGAAATATTGTAGTTTTCAAATATTTACGGTATATTTTTAGGCTGTTCTTACAGAAAAAATCGAATTATAATAAAATATTGTACGGTAGATTTTGGTAAAATTACAGTAGATTTTTTACGGTCGTTTTTACAGGAAAAAACAGTAATTTTTACGGTATTTGTGTTTTTTTACCGAAAAACGAATATTTTATGGTAGATGCCGGTAAAAATACGGTAGGTTGGCAGGTATGAGTTACCATGGCAACCGTGGAAATGGGTAAAAATGAGAGCAAAAAACACCCAGACCCGCCATAATGGCACTTATTTTCAAAATATTTCGAGACATACAAATTTTCTTAAACTTTGATATCATCTAGAACACTTCTAGACAACAAAAATATCAAAAATTGGGGGAAGGTTTATCACTTCAATTTTTTGCAAGCCCTGGTCAAAGTAAAGCTACGAAAAAAGCACTCATTTTCACTTTAGAATCACCTATTATCGCCCAAATGGCTATATGTTGTCCAGGTCGCCATGTTAAAAGTAGAATTAGAATGCTCTTCAGACAATGTTAGATAGCTTTCCTTTATCACGGAACAAAGATCTTTGCACTGGTATGCCCATTTCCATGAGATAATGCACGTGACCCACCATGGTTTGGGACCATTATTTTTTAAACATTGGATTGAAAATGATGTAATTTATATAAATGATATTGTTAAAGATGGAATGTTATGTTCATATAATGTCATAGTTCAAAAAGTGCAGCGCAATTGACAAACCATGCTGCAGTATAATATTTTAAAAGCATGTGTTAAACAAGAGTTAATTACAAAGTATGGAGATGAAGAGAATAATAACAACTTGAGATTTGTAAATAGAGAATTATGTAAATCAGATTCAAAGTATATACGATCAGAGTTAGTCTTGGCAAGAAAATGTGATATTAAATAAGATAATACATTGATAAGTAAGGATGTGTGGAACACACTTTTTAATTGTACAAAAGATAATAAGCTCAAAATTATCCAATGGAAGATTATCCATAAAATTTATCCAAGTGGCAAATATCTAAAACAGTGTAAAATACAAGATTCAGATAAATGTAAATATTGTGATAATGAAATTGATGATGATATGCACTATTTCATGTATTTTCTGAAGTGTAAAGAAGTTTTAAATATTTGGAACACCTGTGATTGTAATTGTCTCAGTGATAAACAAAAACTTGGTATTGAAAATTTCGCACAAGAAAAATATTTTAAAAGTGTGATTATAAAAATAGCTATCCATATGTTTAAATGTGATCTGCTGAATGAGCAGGAAACTTTGAAAATGATAGATAAAAGGGAAAAATCATTTTACAACATGTAACCTTTATATGTAAATGTATTAATTGTACTGTATATAGGTTTTTGATTTGAAATATAGTTTTTTTTTTTAAAAAAATGGTGGGTTTGGGTGCTTTTTTGCCCCCATTTTTTACCCCATTTCTACGGTTGCCATGGCAACTATTAGGCTTTGGTAACCATGCCAACTTGATTTTTGAAGGACATCCACCTGATAGTAGTTGGGCCAGATTTGATGGAAAATGGGCCTGGTTTGATATGCTCCAAGAGAAATATTATCATGTAATGCAACAGGTAACTTATGTAAACAAATTTTTAAATTTATGTAATCTTTTTTGAATTATCTGAAATAAAAAAAAAATTTAAGGTACAGCTGGAAAGTAACATTTTGGTAAAAAATTGCTATACCTGCACATGTTATTTTCTGGTACAAAATAAAGTATGAAGGCATGTATCAATTTCCTTGCTTTTTTCAGGAAAGAATCATTACATTGTCTTCTTTTAGAATATCTGGTAGGCGTTCAAAGGGAACTCCAGGGAATTCTGATATTTCACACTTCCTGTTTTTCCAAATTTTCTTTCAAATTTTCCAGACAACACAGGAGCTACCATTGACCTGTTTCCAGGTTTACTAAAAGTAGACAGTGTAATGATACTTTCCTGAAAAAAGCAAGGAAATACACACATGCCTTCATACTTAATTATGTACCAGAAAATAACATGTGCAGGTATAGCAATTTTTTACCAAAATGTTACTTTCCAGCTGAACCTTAAATATAAAAAAAGGAATGCAATACAAAGAGAGAATTGTATAATAATCACAAACTTTTAATAAATTACATGCTGGTATAAAGTAAAAAAAAAACAAAAAAAAGGTGGAGTTATACCATACCGCAGTTGTGAAACAAAATGGCAAAAAGCTTTTGAACTTTTAGGATTATATCTAAAGGTAGAGTATACCATTGATAGTGCTGACTTTGAGTTTTTCACCATTCTGATTTATCGACATTTGAGCCTACTACCAATTAGTTCAACGTCGTTAAACTCAATAACGGCGTTATTTATTATGAAGAATTTTCTTGGGGCCATTATTGAGTTTAACCTCTTTACTATTCTTTCCATTGATGCAAGTTTTGGATCCACCGAAACCATTTTTCCGCGATAACATGCAACTGATACTTGACAACAATATAAAAACACATAACATCAAGCGATTCAACACAATATTATTGTATTAAATGGTCATTTATACAAGTAAAATGAGGTTAAACTTCCGCATGTCCGGCATTGTGTCTGTTCGTCCCGGGTTAAAATTTAAACTTTTGAAACGAAATTGTTGTCAAATAGATTGATAATTATCACGCGATTACTCGGGATAAAATAACCATTTTTGAGGATAGCAGGTATCTTTGATTGATTTATATAGCTCTTGTATACACACAAAATCGTTATTAATTGCAAACCTACTGTTCGTTGATGCAGTGTCGCAATGACGGTTAATTCCTGATACGATTTGCAATTTCGATGTTACCGGAGCTGACCGATATTTTCGTAAAATTCCAAACCTGTCTCCAATATTTTCGTAATTATGCATCAATATGGTCTAAGGGGGGTACGGGATGGTGTGTATGTATTTATAAGGTATGTATGCATGCTTGAATCACATTCTTTATGTAATATTACCATGTTTTCGGAGTTTAATTAGTTCCGCATGTCGAAACCTGCTGAACGATTAAATGATCGCATCAAGGGCAAAATCATCATGGAAGTTAGACCTAGCCGGGGCAATAAGACATGTCAGATAAGAAACGAGGCCCAGGCTAGGTCTAATGTTGTTGGACTAACTACCAATAGGGTCTGGATCTGGCTCCGAATCTGTGGTATGCAGCAGCGATACTTCATCGTTTTAAATTACACAATTATAGTACATTACATTACAACAAAACTGAAACTTGAAAGAAACTGAAATAAAAAATAAATTGAAAACACCATCTTGATCAAAATGGGTAAAGTAGTATATTTACCTTACTTGCTCAATATTTCACTTGCACTGTCTCATGATTTAATATTTCTCAATCTCTTGTGAATCTTTTCCTTTCATGTTTCCGCGAATTAACAATGTTATTTAGGTTTTTGTGCGATAAATTTGTGTGAACTTCTGAACAAATTCAACTTCACGTCGTTGTAAGCTCTCATTCCATTGGTCAATAGTTCCACCACAGATAATCATAACGTGAGCGTTGATTGGATGGATATTGTGGCGGGAAATTCAATAGTTTTAAAACAGATCTCAGCAAGGTTCCTCCTGTCCTGTTAGTCTCAACATGGACTTTAATCTCAATTGTCATTTAAAGTCCATGGTCTCAATGATCAATAAACATACACATATATTGAGCCTAATCACATCATATACAGGGTGTCAAAAAACAACGGCACCGCCCTCTACAGCAAAAAGTACTGAATGCTACATGGTGTGTTCTGGAGTTACCTGAGAAATTTCAGCTTTATATCATATAATTTTACAGATTTACAGCTGATTCTTAGTAGTTGGTATGACCACCAGTTGCTGCTCAAACAGCAGCTTATCTGGACAGATATGATTTCAATAAAAATTCACATAAAGGTGTAGCGTTGCATAATCCTCTTCGCACTTTCCTCACATTCTTCAGAAATACATCCCTACTGTATCTATTTTCAAGAGGCTCTTTGTCCATCAGTTCCTATACCCTGTTTTTCAGACATGAACCCATATGTTCAGTGCAGTTGAAATCTGGGGTAATTCTTTCATATTTCACTTTCTGAAGATTTGACTTTTAACCAGTAACAGAGCAGCAAACAAAGTACCAAAGTAGCAAACTTTGAAACAATGTAGCTTTTTTAATATTAAGTTTTATTAAATGAAATTTGATGAGTAACTCCAGAATTAAGTTATCTTTCAAATGAGGTATGACATGATATGGAACATTGAGGACTTTTTGCTGTAGAGGGGGGTGCCGTTGTTTTTTGACACCCTGTATATTTCATTTACCTTATTCCAATGCCGTCTCTATATTCCTAATACATGTATAGAGATTAGGCTAGGCCTGACACAAAAAGTATCAGTGTCGATTTTAGATCATAAATACTACACTTATTATTTTCAACACTCTGTTGGATAGATCAAGTAAAAGTTAAGTGTATTTCAACAATCAGATTCAGGGGGGGGGGGGGCTGGGGGCCTTGGGCCAAAAGCCTTAAGGCCCCAAAAAGTGGGCCTTTTGATCATTATTGGGCCATTAAAGGCCTTATTTTCTAATTTCAGGCCAAATTTTGAAGAGGAGTGAGTGTGAATGGAGTGTGATAAGTTCAGCTTCGTGACAGTCAAGGTGTAAAGTTGAACATTTGATTTAAAATTAAGCTTAGATCAAAACTATATCGTTGTTTAATTATTACACAGTTACAAAAGAAGATTAAATGTACATTTCAAAAACTGGGTGTCAATTGTCTTTTTTGCCACACTGTTTTTTGATTCACTATATTTGCACATAGCCATCTTTAGATTGATCACCAATCTAAAGATGGCTTTGTGCAAATATAGTAAGTTTTTGATAACTTGCTAAGTGTCCTTTGAATTCGTTCTTTAAAAATAGAAAAATAATGTACAGTACTATTCTATTGATACAACTGTAAGTTCTTTCAAATAAACTACTGTTCATTCTACTGTGTTGCTATCTAAGTCACTTAGTTAACATGGTTAAGTGGGGAATAGATAGATAGTAACATTGAATTTTAGGTCTGTTAACTGAAATATACATATTATAGGCCGACTATATCATGCGAAGTTAGAGGAATATAAAGATGTCTCCTTCAGAGTATGTTGGAAGTGTGACGCATTGTTTTTTATACAACTTGAAAAAAAGTGTACCAATTTAAATGCATTTAATAGTCCAGTAGCGATAAAAATAAAATAAGTGTTTATTGTTTGAATACTTTATTAGATATATTTCATTTTGATCCATCAAAGTATATCATACTGAAGGAATACAATGGTTTAACATTATTGATATTCTTAGGCCAGAACAATTAGATCTGCCAACTTCCTCCTGGGATCGTGAATTTGTACAATCCAAAAAGTCATTGAGATGAATTCTATCTTTAGTATTAAAGAATTATTAATCTGGGGGACATGAACAAAGAGTTAAGAATTCGTTAAGTCCATTGTTCCCTAAATGTGACATCATCATATCCATGGTTACAACAATTGACTTACAAAGTCGTTACTTTATGAAGTTTCTGTTAATGACCCCCTGGATAACTATTTGGTGAATTAATCTGAATTACATTGCATCTAATCTGAAATTTTTTCTACAGTTTGTAGTTGGAATTGTGATAGGATAAGATCTATATCCTGGAAGATGGTTTAATTTCACTAATGGGGCCACTAATGCTACGATGTATTGCAGGATTAATTCTGCAATGCAACATTACTTACAATATTTATCAGGATCAGATTTTGGATCATATGAATTCATGGCCCTGTTTTAAAGTCTTTTTTTCTCACTAACAGTTAGGACTAGAAAAATACAATATGTTGACCATGCCTATGCGATGCCATGTCTTGGAAAGAATATGCTAATTAAAACCATCAAAAATCTGGAACCCATCCACACCCTGTACATAATTTTTTTGTGAAGTCCTTTAATTCATGTTTGCCCTTATTACTACATATTTCCTGTCTCTCTATGACATCACAAGGTAAATTTGTGTGTGTGGCATCACAATATGGTGGAGATTTGGTGTATTTACAAGCACAAAGTTGATAGAGTCTTTGTTGCTTGTCAACTGTCCATTTCATTGGCTTTATTCCAGTTCCTACGTGAGATCCTGGAAAAGGCAATTACATTCAGTGTTAAACTTTGTTTACAGTAAAACCTGTTTAAAGCGAACACTGCTGGCACAAGCGTTAGAAGTTCACATTAAGAGGTTTTGATTAATATTGGAGTTGGTGAGACATTTAAAAAAGTGGAACCAATCTATGCCATGTAAAGGGTGGGCCAATAAAAATTTGAACATTTTTCTATTTAATATTCAATTTTCTTTATTATTGCAGTTCAATCCACAAAGTTTCACATAATGGTAAAATGATTATTTGTGAAAATGTTAAAGATAAAAATACGTATGTATAATCATTTTTGGCTTGTCATGGTCATGATCTGTATACTATATGTGTTTCATGAAAAATTTCCAAATTTTCTCCGAGACATCATTGCTGAAAATATGTGCCCTTCAAATGGTCTCAACAAAATTTCCATCAATTAAACATGTTAAAACATATCCCTTGAATAATATAGCTTGACTGACGTCTGCTTTTTTCAAAACTGGCACAATATGTATCAAAACCAATCATTTAAGCCATGTGTGACTGTCAAATACAGCTCAGACTGATTGTTTAGGTGGGTGAAGGACATCTTTAGGAAACCCTTGCATTGAGTAATTAAACGTTCAGCTTGTATATTCATATTTACACAAGCTATTAACAATGAATTGTTTTTCAATTCCATAAAGTAATGAAGATAATACATGACTAAGTCTAACAAAAAATTTAACAATGGATGGAAAATGTTCCATTTTTGGCCCTCCCTGTATGTGCTTTAACTTTAACTGTACTAGCAAGACTAAACAAAATAAAAGCCATATTTAAATGGCACATAACTCGTTAATGACACATGGGCATTTATTGAATAGTTGAACAGTTGATAGGATATGGGTCATAATTTATCCCACATTATACTAGGCCTATAACATAAAAAAATTTCTATTTTTTTAATGTTAGGAAAACAATACTAAAGATATTATATATTTCATTTCCTTTCCTGAGAAAAAAGCAATAAATGATATCATGGCAATTAGGCCATACAGTATTATAAAACATAATATAATCTGTTTAATATTGTCAATTTCTGTCAATGTCACACATATTTCAAGGCTTCATACAATATTAGTTACAGCAGCCTCCCCCCCTGGCCGAAAATTCTTTCAAAATCATGAAGTTTTTCACCACTTCTTTTTTTGAGCACTTCTCAAGTGATTTTAGCCATAATTGGACCAAAATTGTCAAATGTGACCCCCCCTGGAAATTTTTGAAAATTGAACCCCCCTTGGCAAATCCTGGCGACAGGCCTGTACAGTATTTGTTTGTTGTAGCATGCATTTTATTCAGACGACCTACCATCACACCAAGGCTGCTTCTTGCTGAGTCCACATCTACACCAGAGTTTCACTTCTCCTTTCTTCAAATCAAATACATTGTTAGGGCCATACTGAAACAAAGTAAAAATTACATAAACCATATGAACTTTAGGTTTACGAGAGACATTTATTTCAGACTTTTACTAGGCCTACCGAAGTTTCTTGCAAATAAGCCAATGGGTGTTTATTTGAAAGAGAGGTGTATGACAAAGTTTTTCCCTCATTATAAAGGGCCATGGGCATTCATTTCGAGGACTTCTAAAGTAACTCCCAGTGGGCGAAAACAATCAAGAAAAGGATTGAAATTGCTAATAATAAAAACAGCCCAGGAAAAACAGAAGTAGCAAACAGAACAGAGAATTGGGGTAAACTTGACAGGATGCAGGAGAAATATGACAAAAGATCACATATTGGTCAATGTTTATGCCTGCGAGTATGAAGCCCATGTGTCATTTTTACAATTAATTGTCGCGACCCTCGTGTGGTAGCGTGGTTTGAGGGTCGTAAACAGAATACAGTCTAAGAGTCAATAATTTGATTTGATGTTTTCATTCACTAAGTTTCGGAACAAGTTCAAGTAAAAGTTGAAAAGTGTATCCCCTATTTAATTGAACAACATCTGTGTTCACAGTACCTAACAAATGGGATAAAGTGGGGATAAATATATAGGGAATAAAATTGGGATAAATTTTGCTATGAAAATTTACGGGATAATTTAGGGATAAATTCTGGGATAACAAATAATTGGGATGAAGTGGAACAATTTCGGGATAAAAGTTACGGAATAACAATATCTAAGTATAGGCTTAGTTAGATATCTCAGTGTTCAATGTAAATTTTATATTTCATAAAAGCAAATGGCAACAAACTCAAGATTCTGAATATGCCCAGTGTTAAATTGCATCAAATAAGTATGAAGTTAGGACGTGAGTATGACCAGGTGGAAGTCAAGTTGCAGCCACTTGAGGGCTACAATGGGCTTCAAGTTGTCACTTTTCACAATTAAAGTGGGAAACTTTGTAATGCTTAAAGTAGGGCTTTTTCAAATCAGGAGTCTGTCAAACTCATCAGGGGATACTATTACTAATTCACCATTTAAACACACGAATAACAAAACAGTGGAAGTAAATGGATTTTTATATAATGTATAAAAACGACTCTATTTCTATTACTATTCTACACAAACGTTACAAAATCAGTACATTCAAATGGTATATCAAGTACACAAATGGTCTCTCATACACAATGCACAAAAAAGCAAAGTCAGTGGAAGTTCAGTAAATCAATTTGCAATAAAGCCCAAAATGTGTTTCTTTCCAAAAATGTAATCAACAGTTCCGTTATGTATGATCTCTAGTGGGATTGAAATCACCTTCCTATACTACTCACATGAAAAGTGGAACGTAGTTTTTCCCACAATTAGCAAACAAAAGGGTAAGGTATTCTTGCATAAAATCTGTCTATAATCGAAAAACTATAGAATATAGCTAACATAGATTTAGACCAGATATGGAAACTAAATGGGGAGGGGTAGATGGTAAACACTGACTAGAACCCCATACAAGCAAGTGCCAGGCTTGAAGACCCCAAATGGAATCTGTACTAACTCATGCTATGTAGTTAGGGGCTGGTCAAAATGTCTAGACAGCATCTTAGAATAGGCTTAAAGCCTTATGAACTGGCTTCAATACTGACTTTGACTCTGCAAGTACTGGGTGCAGAATCAGTGATCAGCTGTTTGATTATGGTCAGAAAGAATGCTCGGGATCCCTTTTAAAATACCCAGGCATGAACATACACAACATATTGTTTTCTAATGGGTCAATAAAAGTTACTTTGGTGAATAAAGTTAATACAGTCTCAAGTTGAATGAAGGGGGAGGGGGAAGGTCATAAAGATTATTCAATGGAACCCCAGGAACAATGACTCTGGTTTAGAATAAGTTACATTGGTTCCTAAAGACCATAACTTTACGTACGCCTTGTCAAATGTTCCATAACAATTCCCGGGATCCCTCGAATTTACAATTGCTCAAAAAGTTATCTCTCAATTTCAGGTTTATAAATCAAAACAGATATGGAATATGAGAAATCATTCCAAGTTTAAAGAAAAAGAATAGTGAATGATGTATCTATTATAAGCAACAATATATAGTAAGGCCAGACGTGTAAAACTGACTAGAAATAAATACAATCAGTGTTTTTGGTATAACATGTATAAGGGAGGGGTTGTAGTAAATAGTCTAAATAGTAACAGGAAGCCCAAAGAAGCCAAATGGGCTTAAAATGGCTTGCCGTGACCTTTAGGGGGGGAAGTTGTGGTAAATATATGGGAAGCTCTAATAAGCCAGATGAAGCCAAATGAGCTTGAAATGGCTTGCCATGACCTTTAAGGCTTGTCGGCACACAGTGACCCCTGTTCTTATTGAAGTTCCTCCAACCAAACTGGCGGTGAAAAATCACAGAAACGGGTACTGGGATTTAAATTAGGGAGTGGGTGATAAAGCCCAATTACAGACAATTATCTGAGAAGGAGCTTTACTGTCTAAGCGGGGGTTATTGCCAGTATGGAATAAGACTGAATCAGTTCAAAGCTCAAGCTGATCCAAAAGACGCTAGAAACTTTATATAATCCAAATCAACAGTAGTCCTTTAGCAATAAATCCCCTAAACAGTTTTAAATGAGTGTTTATACATGTTATACACGCTAATTGAGATAAAAATAAAAGATACTACAGTGGTTTATCAAATTCAAAAACCTGTCAAAATTACAATAAAATCAATTCAATTACCTTCCCCAACTTGTTCACCTAAGTTGGTATATCTGTGTTTATATAAATATCCAGTTTTGAGTTGCGTTTTTGAATGTTATAATTCCAAAAAGTTATACACGTCCGGCCCGTTTCAATGCAATGAAGAGAGTCCCCAGACAAGACAAAATCACTGAGCTAAAACAGCTGATCTCCAGCCTAGCCTCGTTTTGGATGAAAGTAAACAAACCCAAAGTTTGGCTATCCCTTGAATGAAAGTTTACAGCACAGTTGCTAACATGAAAATGACCAGTTTTATAACAAAAATTATACGCTGTCATTACTCTACACAATTATGGCATAATATATACAAATATAAAGTTTATGGTTACATGATAAAAACAAGTGAGGACCCGAATTCAATGGATCTTGAATAAATGAAATTGACACTCTCAATTTTAGTCCAGGGCAACTGCCTGTCTATATCAACAACCCTTTTGCAAAATCTTAAAGAGTTCTACATATATTAAATACAACACAAATTAGAGTAACTACAAAAAGTATGTAAGTGCAAAAGTGAAACAAAGTGACAATCCTTCAAGGCAATCCCATTACCATGCTCAAAGTAATCTGAAGGATCGTCACACTGCTCCCCCTTTTAAAAACAGTTCGTCCTCGAACTCTGAAAATACAAATTCATTTATCAACACATCACCTAAAGTAATTTACTAGCAACATTGTTCTGACTTAAGTAGTTGATAGACATATGTACACAATAATATATAATCAGTTTACTACTTACATAAAAACCATAAGTCTAAATCAAACAAATGCTAGTTTACACGTTTTTAATTTCTCACCTATAATACACAACATAGAAAGGTTATCATGTAACAGTATTATACAAAATGAAGTTTAATGATAACAAATGTCTCTTGCAGCATCAATTGTCTTCTTCATCCTCTTCTTGCAGATCACGGTTCATGGAAAGGGTTGAAGTAATATCCATATTATTTGCACTAAGTTTATCAAGAGTTCATACCATCACATATATGGATGATGCAGGCAATGTTACTGGTTCCCAATCAAAGAATGGGAATATGTTCAATCAGCATTTGGCAGTGCATAGTCTCTAGAACAATGTAAAGTTGAGATTGTCAGTCATTCTTCATGGCCTTTCTCAAGAGGCTTCACAAAACTGCACAGTAATATAAGTATAGAGTATTTGTCTCTGTTTATAAGCCTTAATTTGCATTTTCAATATTTGAAGTGGCTTCCAATGCCAGTTCATGGGATTCTCCAAATAGTTGGACACACTTTAATCGAAAGTCAATCATGATAGTGTTCATCCGTTCAAATTACTTTCAGTCAGCAGAGTGTACAATGTTCATTTTGTTGAAGGTCATCATATGGTTCATGCTGGACTGGAATAAGAAGTGTTACAGTCCTGGAAATAAGACAGGTTAATTACAGGTAAATTTTGAATATCACATGATATGATATGATTTGGCCAAAATAAAGGGTTGTCAAATGAGATTGAATCAATCAAACGTATCTTCAAGATATATCCTTTCACAATCAGTTTCGGATTGGTAGGTATTCAGATAATATCTCATAACATTTGTACTGAGAATGATTCAAATTCAGCTACCATTGCCCTTTTTGGTACAAAGGCAGTAGGGAGGGAGGCGAGGTAGGATTCAAACTTGATGGGAACATCCATTGCAGTGGATGGGGTCACAAGCTGGGACAGTTGCTTGAAAGTGGAACTGGGGGTATGAGGGGAACCTACAAAGTCAGTAGTAGGGAAACACTTCGATGAAGCAAATGGACAGAGCTCTTGTCCATCGTGGCACTCACCCCCCAGGGGGTCACAAGTTAATCCACCTCATTTAAACAGAAGCAGGGACAAAACTATAATATATCAATGTCCTTTGGATTCCAATATACCTGTTACCCCAAGCGTAAACAGGCTTCATGTTTGTAAACATTGGTTGATCAGGCCAATGTTCACAATGAACCCCATTGCTTGAGTAAAGCAGGTCACTGGTGATCCATAACATATCAACAAATAAATAGTTCCCTGTCTGAGGTCATGTCATCACTACCACTGAGCAAAGTGTTTAAAGCTTAACAAGAATCAAAGCCTCAACAGCTCATGTGGTAGACATAAGATGGGAAACATCAGGAATGGAACAGAAATACTTCAGGAAAGAAAAATTAGTTTTCTTTCTTACATTCACATAAGTAAGCATACATTTTCTCACTGAGAAAACTGGCTTACATGAACATTAAAGTAGATCAAGGGAAGTAAGTATACAA